ATCTGTACAAGTGTGAAAACTACAGAGGCATCACACTACTGTCAGTACCAGGAAAGGTTTCTAACAGGGTGTTGCTGAACCAAATGAAAGACTCAGTAGACACCCAACTTCGAGATCGACAGGCTGGATTTCGTACGGATCGGTCGTGCACAGACCAAATCGTGACACTACTGATCATCGTTGAGTCAGGTAAGGTTGCTTACTCTCACCCTTCCTCTTTCTCCTGGTGATCGACTGGATTATGAAGACGTCAACATTTAGGGGGAAGCATGGGATATAGTGAACAACTAGGATACAGCTGGACCGTTTAGATTTCGCAGATGGTCTGGCTCTTATATCGCACACGCAACAAAAGATACAGGAGGACACGACCAGTGCAACAGCAGTAGGTCTCAACATACACAAAGGGAAAAGCAAGATTCTCCGATAAAACACAGCATGCAACGATCGAATCACACTTGATGGAGAAGCTTTGGAAGATGTTAAGACCTTTAAATACCCATGCAGCACCATTGATGAACAGGGTGGATTTGATGCAAACGTGGTAGTGCTGATCGGCAAAGCAAGAGCACCATATCTACAACTGAAGAACATCTAGAGCTGAGATTTCTAGTTCTTACAGGCGAACTAAATGCCACTTAGTTAAGTATGTATATTGTTATTTGATAATTGAAAGCCTAAAATATAAAACATTTGAGCGACTTTATTCATTAATAAAATGGGATGTTCAGTGTATAATTTTCCTCACCTCTATCGTGTAGAGGGAATCATTGTTATTCTGTAAATCTATTTATCATAATATACGTTCTATGTTATGCTTTTTTCTAGTTCTTTGCTACCTGGTTTATGTTATTCAGTCTCATTCTTCAATAATCTTTCACCACTTTTAGTATGAACCGTAAAAATTGTAGTCGATTCAGATATGAATCAGATTTTATGTCTGTGATTATCAACTGACTATAGTTTTACTCAGTAATCGTGTAATAGTCTGAGACAGTTTGTCTTGCCCAATTAACAGCTGTATTTTCCTCTTTTAGACTGTATGGGAGTTATTTTGTATCATTCGGACATTGCTCAAGTGGGTTTGTGCGACTCGATGTAGGCTTGCTGTTTTTCTCTGTATTTTTCTGCTGACAGTTTTCTTGTATACCATCGGGAAACAGCATCAAAGTAATTTGTGTATGGTTGTAAACTTTGTTATTCCAGGAAATTACGATAGTCATGTGAATAAACCCATTTTGTACATAATTACTGCTACATACCAAAGAAACGTTCAACGTGCAGAACTTACAAGAATGTGTAACACTCTACGTAATCTGAAGGATATTTTATGGATTCTTGTAGAAGATAGCACAGAACCTTCATGGTAGTCTTTCTTTGGTTTGGTATTCAGTATGTTGTTTGATCAGTCATTTATATCGTGATATACACTTTTGTTCATGAAACTACCAATTGAGTTCAATTAGATGAAAGCTTTATACCTTTTAATTGCTCTTTTTTGAATTTAACTTGGTTGTTGCTAGTCGCATCTACCTTAGTGAAGTTTTTTCTAACTATTTGAAATATGATAATGTGATAAATGTACTTTATTCTCTTTTAGGGTTGTATCAAATATTCTAGATGATTGTGGTGTCCCTTTTGTACACCTAAACATCCCAACACCACAGTCAGAAAAACCTAAAGTGAATGAACCCTTTTGGTTTCGTCCTAAGGGCATACTTCAACGTAATCTTGGATTACAATGGTTGCGCCAGAATCTTATTTTAGGTAGAAACAAAGGTGTCTTATACATCGCTGATGATGACAACTCCTATAATTTACGTATTTTTGAGGAAGTAAGTTTATAAATTTTTCTATGCTTAATTTTCATCATACTAAATTAATGCAGCTTATGGACACTTTCTTTTTTTTCACTTCATCAATTGTCAGTTCCTGTCAGAAAAAAACCACGATTGATCAGGATAGTTGGTCAAAGTTATTGACATACCAACTGTTCTATTTTATACCTTAAGGTGAGATTTGGTTCAAGTTCGGTTATAATTAACGACAATTCTACTGAGCTATATCGTTTGCTCAGATTCTACTATGGCTGGTAGATCGGTTAGAAGCGCAAATAATTTATTTGCGGAAGAGATCGTACCATCAAGTTTATCAAAGAGTATCGGAAGTTAGGTATTTCTCATAAATAACTAGCGTCTTAGATCCTGACTTCTCATAAATTGGGTGAACATTTAGAAAGCACGAGTCATATGAACCGCTTTACTACCTTTGTCAAATAGACCAGGTTTCACAGAACTGAAGTAGGATTCTGCACTAACATGGTGCTACATAGATACTGAAAATGGTACAACAGTCCTGTAGATGATGGGAAGAAAAAAGTGAATTTTAATAGATAGGCTTTTAAATCGACAAATTGATTACTTCTTGTCTTAGTTTGCCGGATATGAATAAATTAAGGATATAAAGTTTTTTATTTCCTAGTGTTACAAAGTGCCATTTGAAATGTCTGTTTAAGCAGGATAAAAGGATGCCAGTCTGTCTCACTTTCAAATGCTTCAAGCCCTGGTATTTTTCCCCCGCTATTTCATTACCAAAATAAACTACTTCGCTAGCACATATTTCATAAATTAGTCACTAAATAACAAATTCACGGCAGAGTATTAAAGCTCAAAAACATTAGTAGTTTTCATCTGGAAATGCAAATAAAAGCTTGACTAGAAACAAAAGATATTAACTTCTTTGTACCGTTTATTGATTAAATTTAAGTATGAAAAGTTCATCCATAACTTCAGATGCGTGGTACAAACAAAGTTTCAACATGGCCGGTTGGATTTGCAGGTGAACTCCCATGGGAGGGTTGTGTGACGTCTAAAAATCGGACGCACATTATAAGTATGTGGTCAGTATACAAACCCGAGCGTCCTTTTCCGATTGATATGGCAGGATTCGCAGTTAATATTGATCTTATTCTTCAAAACAAGAATGCTGGATTTGACTACAAACGTTTACGTGGAATGCAGGAATCACAATTTTTGTTAGATCTTGGTTTAAAAAATTGGAGAGAATTGGAACCACTAGCAGATGGTTGTCGGAAGGTAAGTTGTACTGTTTTCAAATTTTATTATGCGTATGCTGGTACCTGTTGTTGATCCATATCCATCTTTATGTAGTAGGTCACTTGTCGGATCGCGAAAGGGTTTTTGACATTTAAGTGGTATTCACTACACTTATTTTGAAATATGCAGTGTAAAAATCTTAATGTCGTGAAATTTCGTCGTAAAATTGGATTCAGTACCTAACCCCTGCTTTTATTGTTCGGTCACCTAAACTTTTCATGTGGTTGTTTATTATTTGGCCAGTTCATCATTATATTTGTCTGTTCAATTACCAATATTGTGTTTTACAGCTGCAGTTATTCTGTGTGCACTCAACTGACTAGCACAAACATTCAAGCTGAATATTGTCTATTTATTATTAACCTAAGACGTTGATTTCTAGAATGATAGAGAATGAAAACAATAATGACAACAATGAAGGTTTTGATTGTTCATAATGATTGATGTTTCATAACTGATAAGAAATCGACAACCGGAAGCATTGACACTAAACTAGAAACAATAAAAATTATAGCGTTAACATAAATGAATACTTGAAACTAGATGATGTTCATAGACTAATAGTATATGATCGTAGATGCCTTCAGAGTGTTTCTCGTGGATGTTGGAACCACCAACCAATGTTGAAGTTAGATACATTGTACTAGGTGAGAATGACAAATTTATTGATGAGGCGGTAAATATCCGTTGACTGTAATAATCAGGTCATGTACTACCTACACCCAACCACCAACGATGATGACTGGTGTAGCAGTAGGTCGAAAGAAAGCTGACGGTAACCAAACTTAGACTTTACATCAGTCCTTAAAGTCACCGACTATTGGATGAAGCTATATAGATGAGTGTAGGCGGCATGGTTAATATCTGCGCGATTTTCGTAACCAATGATTAGAGACTTTAGGTGATTTAGCGGGGCAGGTGCACTCAATGTTTATCTTCTCTCAAATCTTAAGTTTCTAAATTTTTGTGTGACTTCTTTACTTCATGAATCCATATTTTCTTGAATGCTATCTTCTGTACTTAGTGTTTCCTAATACTGCTAACACTGTGCTGCTTATACGTCTTCTTCCTGTGATGTGATGTAGCAACAAATATCCTAGGTTTTAGAGGAGAAGCGAAAAATCATCTCTTTCGCTGTTGCTAAAATTGTTAACATAATCTGAGCATTCACTAATATCATATTACATGTACATTCGTATAATTATTCAGCTTATTTTATTCCAAATACTTTTTAAAATCTCCAGACATAATACAGTTATTATTTTTCGCTTGATAGTAATTTACCACAGTAACTAATTCACCAAGCATATGAGTGTGTGCCTCTCTCTAAGTATGAGGACTAGTGATACTATCCAGTAGTTCAATCTCAGGCAGATAAAGCGGGGTTTGAAATTGGGATTTATTAACTGCAAACCACTCCTCTAATAATAAAATAGTATGCGTAATATATTGATTCCTTGGTATCATATAATCTGAAACCATCTTCCAGCTGTACAACTATCTCTTTTTTACTTTTCACCTAGATCTTAGTGTGGCATACACGTACAGCAGAACCACTTTTAACACTATGGAATAAACTGGAATCTCAAGGAGTTATAGCTCCACCTATAGATGATTGGCCCTAAAATATGTAGTATGATTCTAAAAGAAAACAATTATAATCTGTCTGTCAAAATACTTTTTACTTAGGCAGTATTCACTTATTCAATCAACTGTATTCAAAAGAAACCAAAAGTTACATCTAAACGTCATACATAATCAGTCATTCAAATTGTTCATAATATAACGCATACATTTTCTTATGTAAATAATATATAGTTCGTATCATATTACTTATTATTTATAGAAATAAAATATTTTTGAATTTCTATCATTTTTGTATATATTCTGAGTTGCTCGTCTCACTTGTTTATTTGTAATTGTGATTGTTTTAATTCTTTTTGATAAATAGTAGTTATTGTGTATAATTTATTCAGTTCGGTTTTTTTAAAACAAAATCCTTGCTATCACACAACGAAGCTATATGGAAATCAACAATTACTGTGTAGTTTGATCAGCTAATGAGAAACGTGGTTTTCACGAATTGAGTTTTCAATTCAAACAGCTTCCGCATAATTTCCGTTTTGTATTCGTGATGAATTAAAGAGATAACTACGTACATGTCTGAAGTTCACAGAGTACTGAACACGAAGTTTACAATGAAATACGCTATTCTAGTCTAATTAGTTTACTTTGTACTCACTAAGACCGCTTTTACTGTATTTCTATTCGTATATATATTTCGTGTACCTATAATTGGTTGCCTATCCAGTTATTTAAATATTATTTTGTTATTACTGCAACTCCCATCTCATCATATTGTTTTGTACGTGATTGGTGTTGAATTTCAGATATGATTAATAATTCCTATCGATTATTGCATACAGTACAGTATAATTTTTCAAGTCAAACAGTGGTAATTTCGACTCTCAGTTTGATATACAAACGCGTACGAATTATACTGATTTATATTGGCTATTATATCAAGTTTTTCCTACACTTGTTTACTATCTTTTAGATTGTGTACTTTGTATCTGTTGTTTCCATTGCATCCTGTATTTTTAGAGTATAGTAATTCTACTTGGACATAAATAAAATTGATGGCTTTCATAGGGAATATGGAGTTGTATTTTCCTCATATTAGACTTTCAAATCTAACTTCATTTGCATGACCGTTTCATATAGTTTCACCTTATGAACTAGATGGATTATAACACTTGTTTTCCCTTTCTCAGTGAAATCATGTTAGTAATGGGATAATGAGACGGGATTTGTCATATTCTTCCTTTCATTTGTGGTAAGGTAAGTCAGTTGTAACATGAAAACTACAATGAATTTCGTCTCATTTTCCTGTTACTGGCGTGATCTCCATGAGAAAAGAATACTGAGTAACTAAACAACATGATAAAAGTAACTGGTTTATCTTATATATTTCTGATGAGTTACCCTAAGAGTAATTAAAAGCTTATAGTGCATATTACTGGGAACACATCACAGTAATTTATTGCTCTGCAGTCTGTTGATGATATCTTCGCTCCATAAAGTGGATCATATTTCGTGTTTCGATTTTCATATTTTCTGAACTTTCGATGGGAAGACTTGCTGTTGAAGGCGCTTCAAGTTCTTTTTCATTATCAATATTTCAGACCTATGTAAATTTTTCCATTCCCATCCACACTTTGAACTGTGCTGACTACTGTACACCTTTTACACTTTAAAGTTCATAGTAATTAGGATGACGTAGATAAGGTAAACTTTATAAATCGTACTTGATTTTCGATCCTGCCTGATATAACAGATTAGTCAGTTGTATATTATAACAGGTTATTTAGTTAGTCCATTAATTTTGGTTTCGCTTCTTCTAATTCACGTCAATTACTGTCGTTGTTCAATGAGTTCCGATTCCTCCATAGACTCAAATTTACTAACTTGGCTAATTCATCGTATAAATGCCGTTTACATTCACAGCAAAAAGTCATTGCTTTTCGAATAAGGATTATATATGTTGCCGTTAGATAGATGTTCTGTATTTAAGTAGTCGAATTTAGATGACTATTTTATACATGCAGCAATAGAACGAGACCATCTTAGATTTGATAGAAAAGATATTTCTCTCCAACCATAAATAGTGGTATGTAAAAATATTCTTTTCGATAATTCGTCTTTCCCTAGTAAAATTTCTTTTGTACGCTGAAACTGTTGTCCATATATGGTACAAAAATCAAGACAACATGAATGGTATGACCTCCAATCAATTTCATAGTGATATAGACTTTCGAACTCACCAATGTTCAACACTAGGCGGGCAAAAAGTGCCATCACTTTGGCATTTCAATAATCAATAATAGTTTCTCATTAAACTATTATGAGAAGTAGATATTTTGAAACTTCGTAAATTCCTAATATCTTCTTGTTTGATGTTGTGAACAGGTTGTGTAACTGTAGTCTTTTCTTAACATTGCTTTTAACTTTATAAACTATAGTTTACTTTTTATTGGGATATATTTTAGGACAATGGAAATCGTACAGGATTTGGCAGCCTCCACTTTGAAAGATAATCCATACTTTAGTGCCGGTGCCGGGCTATTTGGAGTTGGGATAGGAATGGCTGCCCTTAGAAGAATGAGTCAAGTTATAAACCTTCTCGTTCGCCGTAATCTCACTTTAACTTTAGAAGTAGCCAGTCATGATAAGGCTTATCCCTGGGTTTTACATTGGATTACGCTGAAATCTAATGGACCGTTAATGAAAGGTGGAAAAAACAAAATAGGTGGTACAAGTCAACACTTAAGTGTTGAAACTAGTGTAATACGTACAGAAGGCGGCCGAATCAAAGCTGCATTCGGCTTTGTGCCTAGCGTTGGCGTTCACTATATGGTTCACCAAATGAAATTAATCCGCATTGAACGTGTTCGTGCTCAACAATCCTTACAAGGTGCTACTGTAGCTCCATTCGAAAGTGTAACTCTTACGACGTTCGGTCGCAACGCCAGATTTTTTATTGATTTGCTCGAGGAGGCTAGAGAAGAAGCTCTTGCACGTGAAAAGGGTTGGACCGTTGTTTACAAGGTAATTAAGGCACATATGTATTGACCCTTTTTCGTGTTTAATTTTCACAATTATCATATATTCTGATCTTACTCTTATGTCGAAAATTTTTTATCAAACTAATTGTCGTTACTATTGAATATCAGTTTTACCATATTACTAACGTGATTATTTTCACTAACGGTTCATTTTTATGTTGAATATTTCCTACAGAAATAGCATCTAGAGGACTTAAAAATGCATAACTACAAATAATTAAATAAACGATATTGTGCAAACTTCCCACGTTGAAAAGTTTAATGTGCGAGTTACACTTGTAATAATATAGCAGTGAAGTGTTTCACCTAAAATATATGTGTTTGACTTTCCATATTACACTACTCCAAAAATATTGGAGTAAGAGATTTCTGGAATTTATATAATTATATTTTCGTCCTATTGTGGGACTCGTCAGCAGTGCGCATCCACGATCTCGCTCGCGGGACTGAAACACAGAGCCTTCAGTCTCGCGCGCGAACGCTTAACCTACTGGACCACTGAGTCGGCATCCAATGCTGTTAATGTCTAACCTCAACCAATCCACCAAAATGCGCGACCATCTTCCATTGTACTGAGGTAGATACCTTCTCTACCCGACACGGATGAGCTCCACATCAGTCGGTTCATGATCTCAATCAAAAACTTGATAATCTCCACAACCCCTATACTGATAATTATCATGTGCTTACTAGTGACTAGCTTCGTGAGGGAATTCTTAGAGTTTTAGTGAGAAGCCGTGACCAGTGGATCTAATTGGTGTCGGGTAGAGACAGGTATCTACCTCAGTACAATGGAAGATGGTCGCGCATTTTGGTGGATTGGTTGAGGTTAGACATTAACAGCATTGGATGCCGACTCAGTGGTCCAGTAGGTTAAGCGTTCGCGCGCGAGACTGAAGGCTCTGTGTTTCAGTCCCGCGAGCGAGATCGTGGATGCGCACTGCTGACGAGTCCCACAACAGGACGAAACGACCTTTCCAGCGCTTCCAGGTTTTCAATGGTGGTCTAACATCAATCGGTTCATGATCTCAATCAAAAAATTATAGTTTGTTTGATTATTTTACATGTTCTGAAGAATATCTGTTTAAGTAGTTGTTTAGTAGAACTGATGTTGTTTTTCTAAATTCATTTTCCGTTCAGTCAGTCAGTCAGCTACAACGTAGGACCAGGCATATATGTGCATCGGTCCAGGTTGCCATACCGCATCAGCACAACAAGATGAACATCGGATTCATAGCATGTAAGAGAAAGATTGCATATAGAGATATAGTACAAGAAGAGAGAATTGGTTCGTAGAAAGAAAGATATGAAGCGATTTTAATCTCTTAGTTTAAGGGAAGACAGGGAGTGTATACACCGACGCCATTGTGATCGATTCTGAGCCATGTCACCAAGAGTCTCCAACCATTGGTTACGATAGTCACGCGGACCCCAACCAAGTAGTCTGCATCTACCAACATGGCTAAGACGAGGAGTTGGTGACTTCAAGCACTGATGCCACGTTTTGGTTTGGCCGCCCCTAACTTTCTTCCAACCATTTCCAAAACCGGATCTCATTGCACGTCGTGGTAATCGGTGTTCAGGCATACGTAACACGTGGCCCAACCATCTCAGTCGATGAAGATTCATAACCTCATCAACTGATTTACCATCATTCCCTAATACCCTGCGTCTAACCTCACTATTACTTGCCCGGTGATCCCAGCAGATGCCAGCAATATTTCTAAGGTATTTGTGGTCAAATACTAATAGCTTACGAGTGTCTTCTACTCTTAATGGCCATGTTTCGCTGCCGTAAATTAAAACAGAATGGACTGCCGCGCAGTATACTCGTCCTTTTATTGATAGACGGATATCTCGCCTTCGCCATAGGTGACGCAAGTTGGCAAAAGCCAAACGAGCTTTTCGAATCCGTGCTGAGATTTCGTCCGATACCAACCCATTAGGGCTGATCAGACTTCCAAGATAAGTGAAGTTGTCAACGCGTTCGACTGCTTCACTCCCTATCCTTAGTTCAGGTGTTGACGCAGACCAGTCCTGAAGCAACAACTTGCATTTAGAGGGAGAGAAGCGCATTCCAAACATCCTGGCATTGTTGCTCAGTGCTACCAGAAGACTGCATTTTGTCAGCGTCTTCACCAAACAGGACTATGTCATCTGCGTATTCTCTCATTTTCCGTTCATAAATTATCGTTGTCATTGACTACTCAAAAATGATAATCATACGGTTTTTTAGGTTAACTTGTGATCTGACAATTTGAATGCATAAAAAAGTGAATCATAAACGGACGTTTTCGTTTAGGACGATTCTTAATATATTAGTCTCATAGCTGTACACTTATTTGATTGCAAGAAAATAATTCAGGCTTCCTCTGTGATTTTTTTCTAAGCAGTCAACACACAAAAGATTTTCATTATGTAATTGTCTAGATGCTAGAAGTTTCCTACACAATTCTTACGGAAACACTTGTGGTTTTATGATATAATTTACCTAGGCTATGTATAGATTGTCTTCTAATTTCCGTCGGCCATATTGGTTCATATAAGAACATAATAAGTGTAATAATCGTACGAAGAAGTCGTTTTTGGTTTTAGGTTTTTCCAGTACAATGAATGTATCTACCTCAAAGAACAGAGACGTAGTTAGTATTACTTATTGGTAATGAGTAGATAATTGATTCCACTTAATTATTGCTTCAATTTAATTTTTAGTTATACTTGTTGGATGCAAGAATTATGTGTCTAATTTTAGTTATTTGCTATTTATACGGTGTAGGCTGTTGGTTCAGAATGGCGCCAGTTTGGTTATCCTCGTCCACGTCGACCTTTAAATTCTGTCATACTGCGTGATGGTATAGCTGAAACTATTGTAGCTGATGTCAAAGAGTTTGTTGGTAGGTAAGCTTTTCAAAAGCAAGTCGTTATATTTGATTTTAGTCATTATTTATCTCTTGTAGTTGATGCGGCTATCGATGAGAAGAATAAATAGTGAATGATATATTAGTTAAACAATAATCCAGGAAAATTTTTGTTTCAGATCTCCCTCATAATAGAACGGGGAAAATTACTGATAAGTAATAAATCTAACTATTTATCCACACCTTATATGTTTTGTATTAGATTCGATTTGCTAAATACTGATCAATATCCCATTTTTACAATAAAATGTTACTTTCTCACCGTGTATGTCCCGTGAACTTATGGTAAATTTTGATCAGTATGTGAATTCTTGTTATGTTTCAATTGGTTTCGAATCAGTTTTCACCATGATTGTTCTAATATAGGTGTTTATATTACTGATAAAGCTCTTAGTGCATATAAGATCAGTATGAATAATTTCAAGTTGTTTCATTTGTCATTGTTATTTCGTATTTCGTTGTTTGAAATACAACGTATTGAACTTTATCGATCATTACAAAGAGCATAGATTCTCATAAGAGACACTCCTCGTTTTAGACCCGTATTAACTACCGTCAATCCTTTATCACAATAGCTTGATAGAATGATAATTATTCCCTGAGTTGATCTGGGAATAATAACATTTTTTGACGTTTGTCAGATACTTTCGCTGACGTCAATTGTAGAAATGTAATTAAATCATTCTCAAGTTTTATCAGGCATCTAAATGAAAGCACAGTATGTCTAAATAAATCACTTGTTGAAATTCAAGGAACTGACTGACAGCGTTTATTGCAGATGTTTAAAAATCAGCATCTATCCGTTAACCGTAGTTCAGTATTGAAATTATGTCATGATAGTGCTTTGTTAAAAAATTTCCTTGTTATGAAATAAGTGTAGCGATTACTAAGCAATCTCTCACTACCGTATTCTTTTGGACACCAATTTTCCGTTTTTTTTCTTTCTACTTTCATTTAGACAACCAGGCCTGGTACACTGATCGTGGTATACCATATCATCGTGGTTATTTATTATATGGACCACCAGGATGTGGCAAAACTAGTTTCATAACAGCTTTGGCAGGTACATATATACTACTTATCAGCTCGTAGTTTTTATTATAATTATGTGACGATATCAGGAGGGTGTGGTTTTAAAAAATTCAAATAGTAGACTTATAATCATGTAAGCATTTCAGCGGAAAGTATGGATCTAACTAATTGTAAAATATATCAACAGAACGGTTCTTCACCTAGAATTAGTATGTAATATGTTGACATTGTTACGAATGTTAGGACAGTCATTTGCCACACTTTTTCGTTCAATTACAATGGAATAAATCGTTTCCCAGATAAACCTTTTAAAGATATGTATACATATTTTGTGTTTCACCTTTTCATTCTCTGTTCAATTTGCACTGAAATTTGTTGTTTATTTAATATTCCAATAAAAATAATGGTCATTTGTCAAGATAAATTTTAATGCTTAACCCTGAATAAATAGAACTATAACGCGTCGTACAAGCGATTCGTATTCATGAATTTAAACAAATCAAGACCGAAAATATTTACAGAATGCAGTGAATTCACCACATTTCATTACTTCCTTTTCAGCTACATGCGAACCAATAATTTTAGTTGGTTCCAACTTTGATATATTTACTTCAATTTTTATAAATAGAGTGATATCAATACACAAGCTCACATACTGAAAAAGTATTTCAAATCTAAATTTGCAAATGTTTATTTTTTTCATCAAAAGTAGTTGATCCAAATGATAAACTGAATTTGCTATGTGAATGATTGTGGATTTTATATTAAGCTTAGATTAATTTCTTACCAAAAGAGGTACCTAAAAACGGTTTTCAGCATATCATCTCTCACCTTCTTTAACATCTTAGTATAATTCCATTATTTGTTAATCTTAAAAGATCCATTTATATGTAGACAATTTTACTGTTATTGGATTATTATTTTCGTAATATCAGAAACAAATGTCCATTGGTTAAGTTGTCACAGCTCACGTCATCGCAGCGTGTGCAAGGATCTATGATTATCAAATTGACTCATATTTTCAAAGATGATATTTCTTTTTTGAGGTTGATTAATACCAAGTATCTTTTATTAGAGTCCCTTGAAATTATATGAATTAGGGGTCTCATTTTGTTTTTACTGTAGCTTGTATAAGTTTTAACAATTTGTTTGCTAAACTTAATGAATATAACAATGAATGACTTAATCAATTTCTGAAATTATTTTCTAGGCCATTTAGATTATAGCATTAGCATATTAAATTTAAGCGAATTCGGCATGACGGCAGATCGATTAGATCATTTATTAACGCATGCACCGCTTCAAACTATCATCTTACTTGAGGATATTGACGCAGCAGTGCATAGTCGTAACACATCAAATAATGATCTACTTCATAGCAAAGGTTGGTTTCGTTTAGTTTTTATCGTTTAATTAATGTCATTTAGCTTATGAAGGTATGCCAACACTCACTTTAAGTGGATTGTTAAATGCACTAGATGGTGTAACCTCGACGGATGGTCGCATCATATTCATGACTACAAACTATATCGATCGGTGAGTATCTGAATTATTACGTACAAACTTTTTTCCCATATTAACTCTCATTTCCCAGGTGCAGGTTTGTGTAATTTTATTTAGATCATATTATCCAGTAATTCAAACCGAAGTAGACGGAGTGGCGTTCTAGCCTGTTTCTTGGTAGATAAAAGTTAAACTCCCCGGCCATAGTCGATACTTTGAACAACTATCAGTAAAGTTGGAGTAATTTCTTCTTCACTACAACTGGTTCATAGTGAAATTATGCATTTTAAATTTCATTTATTCGTAAATAAATTTTTCATATTGGTAATCATTAATGAACAAATTCAAAACAAACTGACACTATAGTAGGTAGAACAGAGGTAATTATCAATCGCTGAATTTAATTTTTTTCTGTTATGCTTAGGTGTTATTTATAGTTTATCTATTTATTTAACAACATGAAACTTGGCACAACATAGTACTAAATAATAAAATGTGTCTGGAAGTATAGATAACATTGCAAGAAAAATGAAGTGCATTTGGATAGAAAGGAGTGATAGTTAATCATTAACATGAACACTATATCAAGAGAAGAGATATTTACGCACACATACAATTAAACCCGGGATTATTTCAGCTAAAAAAATTCCTTTGACATTTATGAAGAATGTTGGGAAAATTAAAGCAGAATTGCCATTTTTCCTGTCCTAAATCAAGTTCGATAACGTTTGAGTTGGATCACCTCTAGGACCTTGAACGAAGCGGTGGTGAACCGGCAGGTGCTACTCCTACACTGCTTAACTCAAATGATGGTGACAATCCGTAAACCTCTCCGCTTTTCTTAATCAGTCCCAGCGTCGGGAATTAATACGAAATGTGTAAGCCGCTGAGGTGACATGTCCAGCCAACCGAAGCCAATGTTTCAGGGCAGTGAAATCAATTGAGTTATCGTCACTATGTTCAAACAAGCATTATCAAACATAGTGTTGCTATTACCTGTTGTGAAAATCCCTCCGAAACAACAACGACTGAACACAGAGTCGTATGACATTCTCGACTTGCAGATGCCAGGTTTTGAAGCATGGATTAAAACTGCTCTCATTTCCATAGTATCCCACACCAAAACCATGATTCTCCTGAAGAATAGCAATATAGTTTCGTTTCGATTGATGGTAGTCTCAGAACACACCATACTAGAAGACGTTTACCATGCACTCATTACAAGTCATGGTAACCTGACTTGGTGGTGCTGTGTTCTCTAAGCTGAAATGGCTTAGTTGTAAATCTTTCAATGGCTTGATGGTGTCTTTCAGAAAGAGAATGAAGGCCTCGCCACCAAAATTTTCAGCTTTAGGGATAGAACACCACCAAAACCCAATCAATATTTGATTTGAGTTTGGATGGTTCTCGATAACACTTCGAAAATACTGAAAATGAACTACAAATATTCTCGATCTCAAAATATTAATCAATCCGTGTTTCCCCCCTTTACATTTTTATCCTACTTTTGACGTAAAACAATACAATTTTAACTTACCTGCAGAGATACATAAATGAAAAAAAAAGTTAAGTCATAAAGAGATGTGTTCAACATAGATTTGTTTTGGTTGCTTGTGTATCCGAAGGGTGTACATAAGTATAGTCGTTGAGGATTTTTATAAACACTTTATTTCGAACAATATAGTCCAATATTGTTTACTTCAAAATATCATACAACTAAACAGAGTCAGCGTTATATATGCATTACTTTTTAGATTCGTCTGTCGCTTAACCAGGAAGCTTCACACAAATGAAATAAGAGCCTGGCTTCAGCGATAAAATTTTTTTTACAATAAGTGTGACTTGGGTAGTCTATTTACGCATAAATTTACTAGCAACGTAATAACTGTATTACTTGGTCGGATTCGATAATACACTCGTGTTACTGGTCTTTATTTCGTTATTATTATTGCTGATGTAATAACTTTACCTGCAGCTTTGTAGAATACTTGTAGTTAATTTGTTGATTCACCGTTTTTTTTTACTGACAGACTTGATCCTGCTCTAATACGACCCGGTCGCGTTGATATGCGTGTACGAGTTGACGTTTGTGACTCGTCTCAACTAATGCGTATGTTTAGTCGATTTTACCCACAGTGGACGTCGTCTGATATTAATAATTTAGCTCAAAAGTTTGCAAGTCTATTAAAGGATACACCTTTGAGTTCAGCACAAGTTCAAGGTTATTTGCTGTTGCATAAAGATGACCCTTTAAAAGCAATTAGTAATATAAATCAACTGTTGTCTCCGTATGATTCATAAATTTTTAATCTTATACCCAGTGATACGCTTAAAATGTAACGTAATTTAGATTCTCAGGATGGTTTACATTATTGTTGATTAATCTCATTCAAATTGTTTGTTGTTTATAATCTTGTGTACATAATCTATGTTTTTAATCAAATAAAGAAATTCGTATGAAAAGGTTAGTTAAAATGTCCAAATTTCTACTTGAAATGTGAATTATTATCCAAAAGTTTTCAGTAAACTAGTTATCTGAATATGCGGATGAAATTTATCTGTCATAAATTGTGATTGGGGATATATTGATTTCAAAATTCCTCTAATTCGAACTCGATAGACCGGTAGCTGACACGAAACACTCCGACTATAATTCCCAACGTAGTGGTAGACGAAGAAGTTAGTAGAAACAGGAAATTCAAGGGGATAGATTTCAAATGAAACGACCCAGTATAATAGCATCAAAACATGATTTTGGGACACTCAAATTAGGAAACTAAAAATGAGAATAGCTAAACAGATAACAGCGAATTTCATTGCGGAAAAATGAATTCGCAGTTAATGTTACATTTAAAAACCGACATTTGAAAAGAGCTAAAATCTCCTTAGCAGTGCACAATCATACCCAGTAGTTGGTTCACACGAATTAAATCGCATAATAGTGTGAGTTTTATCCCGACTGTTTTTTTCTACCTTGATGTGGTGGTCGGGCTTGCCTATCGTAATGAACGAATCGAGCTATACTGGCTGGAACAATCGTTCCTCAAGGCCCTACCATGCCAGATAGGTCAGTTGAAAAACGGTAAGATTAAAAGCAGCATACCCAAAGGCAATGCCGTACTGCTGACTGTACAGAGACGGGGCAGCATTAAGGTGTTTCCTTCAGACAACTAACATAACTGCAGTGCTGCCTTCCCACAAAGAAGTGTGGGGTTAGAAAAAGTCGACCCTTCCACGGTGTGGGCAGCCGGGAAGTGACATCAGTCCTCATACCCGTAACAGCACAAGAGACCAAGGTGGTCACATTCAAATCCTTCCTACACCTCCTAATACCTCTCTTATCTCCATGACTAACCCTCCTCACGTCTCTTTATCATCTCGCACAGCTAGGGCAAACGATTCGAGTACGCGGAACGTTATTCCTGGTCTACTGAAACCACACTCTAAACTACACGTAGGAGATCTTAACGTCCGAACACTGTGCCAAATAGGACAGCAGGATTCCTTAGCTAGGACTTTACAATCCCGCGCCATCGATGTGTGCTGCGTCTCCGAAACGCGCATACAGGACCCGAGTAGCGTCATTCACTTGACCTCACCATACCAAAATAAAGAACCGACTCGATTCACGCTTCGTGTATCTGGAAGCCCAGATTCTGCTTCCCGTGGCCTCGCCGGCGTAGGTATAGCATTGAGTCCTAGGGCAGAACTAGTTCTCTTAGAGTGGATCCCAGTAGACAGTCGTTTGTGCGCTATCCGACTGAACGGAACAGTAAGGATCCGAAAAGACAGGGATACTCGTCGTTGCCTCTTCGTCGTCTCTGCCTATTCTCCCACTGACTGCAGCTCAGATGATGTAAAAGGTGAGTTTTACAGAAAACTTCTCGACCTTCAGGAAAAGCTAGGCGCTCTGATGTAGTAATAGTCCCGGTGACTTTAATACTCAAGTAGGTAAACTAAGCGATAGGGAAAGACACCCTAGGTGGATCTTATGGTGTCGTGGCTCAAAGAACAGATAATTGCGACCGTCTGTTGCAGCTATGCTCAGATAACCGCCTGTTCCTTGCAAATACTAGTTTTAAGCATAAGGAAAAACAAATTTTAACATGGAGACCCCCTAATTCGTCCCAACGTTAGACCCAAATAGATCACATCGCTATCAGCCACCGATGGAGGGGCTCGATAGAAGACTGTCGCCCACTCTGGAGCACATGCGTAGATTCAGATCATGCTCTAGTGCGAGCGCGTATTTGCTTGCGTCTTACTGGACGTAGGAAAGACGCTGTAAGGAAACCTCTTAGGGCCCTACTTGATGACAGTCAAGCTAAGAGTATATTTCAGGAACAACTAGGAAAACAGTTAGGCAGCCATGTATGTGATACCCACCCTGAGGCAGCATGCAATGATATCCGAAAAGCTGTGGAAACAGCAGTGATATCTGCTAGTAAGGTAAACCAGAAGGTTAGAGAGCAACACTGGATCTCAGCAGCATCTATCGCACTGATAGATGCTCGGAAACTCATTCCACCTGGCTCTGAACATAATGAAGAGCGGAGTCAGCTTAAGCGCAAGCTGACAAAAAGTCTGCGCAATGATCGCGAACAGTGGTGGGTAGCGAAAGCAAGAGAGATGAAAAAGGCAGCGGCAATAGGTAATAGCAGACAATTGTTCAGACTCGTTAAGGAAACCGGAATTAGGAACCCAACCGTTAGCGAAACAATCTCAGAGAAAGATGAACATATTATTCATCCTCAATCCAGGAGATTGGATCGATGGGCAAAACACTTTAGGGATCAGTTCAACTGGCCTTCAGCCACACTTCGGTTTCCCACAATCTCTAGTCAACCTGAATGGCAAGTTAATGTAGGTCCTCCGACTCTTTACGAAGTTGTAAAAGCCATAGGAAATCTGAAACGAGGGAGAGCAGCAGGCCCTGACAGGTTTACTCCTGAGATTTTTAGGGATGGTGGTCCAGTATTAGCAGTGAGATTAACTGAGGTCTTGGGTATAATTTGGGAACTGGACGTAATCCCATCTGACTGGTCTCAATCACTGATTATGCCAGTCTATAAGAAAGGACAAAAGTCCTCTTGTGACAATCACAGAGGAATCAGTTTGACTAATATAGTGTCTAAAATATTAGCTTCAATAATACTTCGACGCCTAACTAAAGCTGGTGAAGAGCAGACTAGAGGAAACCAGGCTGGTATTCGACCTGGAAGTGGTTGTATAGACACATTACGTCAGATCCTAGAACATAGACACACATTCAGACACCCCACAATCTTAGTATTTTTCGACCTTAATGCGGCATATGACTCTGTTGATCGTGAGGTTCTATGGCCGTGTTTGTCACTGAAAGGAGTACCAAAGAAGTACATTAACCTTATACAGGCTCTCTACTCGAACACAACTGGTAGAGTGAGAGCTTATGGCGAACTGCCATCAGAATTGATTACCTCAAGTGGTGTTCGTCAGGGCTGTCCACTCTCCCCATTCTTGTTCAACTTTGTGGTCGACGTACTTTTAGAGATAACACTCTCCTCATCTAAATTTCCAGGGGTTGAACTTGTACCGGGAGGTTCACTTGTTGACTTAGAATATGCAGATGACATAGTTTTATTTGGTGAAGACGCTGACAAAATGCAGAGTCTTCTGACCACTCTAAGCAACAATGCAAGCATGTTCGGGATGCGATTCTCTCCCTCGAAATGCAAAATGTTGCTTCAGGATTGGGTTACATCGACACCCGAACTAGTGATAGGGAGTGAAGTAGTTGAGTGTGTCGACCGCTTCACTTATCTTGGAAGTCTCATCAGCCCTTGTGGTCTGGTTTGTGACGAAATCTCAGCACGGATACAGAAGGCTCGACTAGCTTTTGCCAACTTGCGTCATTTATGGCGTAGGCGAGATATCCGTCTATTAACCAAAGGACGGGTTTACTGCGCAGCAGTTCGTTCCGTCCTTCTTTATGGCAGTGAAACATGGCCGGTAAGAGTAGAGGATATACGTAGGCTACTAGTATTCGATCATAGGTGTCTTCGAAACATTGCTCGTATATCCTGGGACCATCGAGTAAGTAACACAGTTGTTAGGACACGGGTACTAGGTAAGGATGGCAAATCAAATGATGAAGTAGTGAAACTTCATCAGTTGAGATGGCTGAGACACGTGTTACGTATGTCCAACGACCGACTGCCTCGACGTGCTATGTTCAGTGGTATAGGAGTAGGTTGGAAGAAAGCTAGGGGCGGTCAAACCAAAACATGGCACAAGTCCATGAAGTCACTGACAAGTGGTCTGAGTCATGTTGGTAGGTGTAGACTACCTGGTTGGGGACCACGAGATGATAGCAACCGATGGTTAGAGACCCTGTATGACATGGCTTAAAATCGTTTGCGATGGCGCAGGTGCATCCACTCTCTGTGTTCTCCCAAATTCTAATCTGAATTCTTCATGTCCCTTTCTTTCTTCTCTTTCCAAATTTATCTCACTGTATTATACTCCGTGAATAACATCTTCAAGCTCTAATGTTTCCGATTACTGCTTATACTATTACTACCTTTACCATGACGGAATTTGAGTCGACAACTGCATCTCTGTGCTAATGTGGTGTGGCGACTCGAACTGATGTACGTACGTACGAAGTTCTACGTTGTTACTGACTGATGACCCTAAAAATACCTCGCCTTATCCCACGAATATCCGTCTCCGGTGTTAAGGTCCCAACACGTACGCAGCCATCATGGAAACTCACAAAAGGTCGTGTATTACCGGCCTCAAGCGGTTGCCCCTTGGGCACCCCACTCACGCTCTCAGGTCACTAAGACCTCTAATCCAATATCATTTTCAGATACCTCCAAAAGAACCCTTCCACTTTGTGTGCGACCGGGCAGTGATAACGGCCCTCATACATCTAAAAGCACTCAAGACCACTTTATTCACTATCAACCTTCCTCTTCATCTCCTATTATTCCTCATACATCGACCTTCAACACTAAACTTCCTCTTTCGGTTTCCTCCTTAAGTGTCACAATAGCCAACGATTATAGTGCGCAAAACACTGTACCAAGTCTAACTTTGTCATAGACATGCTTTCAGATACAACGCTTTCATCATTTGACTTTTCAAGGATTGCTATAAAGATGTTTGGGATACTCTTCTCTTCCTCTTAATGCGGGATGTCACTTCAGGATTGGTTTGGGTCAGCGCCAAAAATTACGCTAGGAAGTGAAGTATTTGCACGTACTGATCGCCATACCTATTTTGGCAGTCGCATCAGTCCCGATGACATTTAGTCACAGATGTAGAAGGTCGCACTTAAAATGCTTATCGGCGTCCGACAATGATAGTTTTTCTTGACTTGAAAGCAGCATTTGACTCGGTAGACCGAGAGATTCTGTGGCAGTGTCCGTCATTGAAAGGTGTACCTCAGAAGTACATAAACCTTGTGAAGGCTCTTTGCTCGAGAGAGCTTATGGAGAACTGTCATCTGATTTCGCAACCTCAAGTGGTGTCCGTCAAGGCTTCACCATAGACCTACTGATGGAAATAACATTCTCGTCGACTGAATTCTCGGGTATTGATCTCGTTCCAGGAGGCACACTTATCGACCTAGAGTACGTAGATAATATAGTCCTGTTTGGTGAAGACACTGATAAAATGCAGAGTCTTCTGGTAACACTGAGCAACAATGCCTGGATATTCGATGTGCGTTTCTCCCCTCTAAATGCAAGTTGTTGCTTCAGGACTGGTCTGCATCAACAACTGGAATATTTTATGGTAAGATGTGGTATGCTTGATTGGTGTATAAACAAAGTATGTTTGAAATATAATGATTCATATCTCCGAGGCTGTGACTTGTGTTCTGGACTCAACTAACTGGGCTAGACAGGGAAGTGGGACCAATCGAGACTCTAGGCCGTCCGTACATGTTTACGTGTCATTGAATCGATCGATAAATACGCTGCTCTCTAATTTTCCCAGTCAAGGACACAACAATTAGCACAGGGTAAAAATCGACTCAATTTAAAGCCATAACAGAGTGAAGTAGTCGGACGCGTTGACAACCTCACTTATCTTGGGGGCCTGGTTAGCCCTAATGGGTTGGTGTCTGACGAAATTTCTGCACGGATTTGGAAAGTCCGTTTGACTTTTGCCATCTTACGTCACCTATGACGAAGGCGAGATATCCGTCTCACAATTAAGGGACAAGTATACTGCGTGGCAGTTCGTTCTATTCTACTTTACGGCTGCAAAACATGGCCACTAAGAGCAGAAGATATTCGTACGCTATAGGTATTTGATTACAGATGCCTTAGAAATATTACTTGCGTCTGTTGGGATCACTGGGTAAGTAATATTCAGATTAGACGCAGGGTATTAGGGAATGATAGTAAATCAGTTGATGAGGTTGTGAATCTTCGTCGACTGAGATGGTTGGGTGACGTATTGCTCATGTCCAACCACGAATTACCACGGCGCACAATGCTGACTAATGTTGGAGACGGCTAGAAGAAAGTTAAGGGCAGCCAAACCAAAACGTGGCATCAGAGCTTGAAGTCACCAACTCCTCGTCTTAGCCATGTTGGTAGATGCAGACTACTTGGTTGGGGTCCGCGTGACTATCGTAACGAATGTTTGGAGACTCTGGGTGACATGGTTCAGGATCGATCACAATGGCGTAGGTGTATACACTCTGTCTTCCCTTAAACCATAAGATTAAAATTATTCCATACTTTTCTATGTACGAAATATTTTTTACTACGTGGAGCGATGGATGTATGTGCCTGGTTCTACTTTGTAGCTGACTGACAGGGAGGGTTTTATAAGATATATCTATTCATTTCGTAATAAACGGATGATTACTTAATTCTACATTCAGTAATATCTCCCAGTAACCAATTGTATCGCAGTATCAGACGAAACGTAAAATTACTTCTACATTAGTATTATCAACATCTTGGAAACATCGGAACCCTGTAACGAGATTGTAAGAAGCATAATAATACCGTTTAGATTTCGAAATTCATGTAGCACAAATTATTAATAGATGCCTCTTCCATGTTAAATAGTCATTTAAGTCACATGGATGCTGGGAATCCATCTGTACTAACATGCACATTCATCATATATGTATGCTTATGCAATTGAAAAACCAGGTAATGCAGTTGTAAAAAACTTATACTAGTAAGTTTATTCTACTATACAGATTGTTTCTTTTTTGTTTTAAAAATAAAAATGACCAAGTTATGGGCTTTCGAGTGTTGTTGTTTCTGAATTATAGGTCTCGAAGTCCCAATCAACTGAACTTTTTTCATTTATTGTTACATAACACTGAATTATATCGCCTACTTTCCATTGTGAAATGAAATTCTTTGCGGATAAATTTTGATTCTCGCTATGAATATCCTGAACTTCAGGAGAAACTAATACAATACCACAATCTACTCCTTTTCGAATACTTTCAACAACAGATTTTTCATGACGCAATGAGTAACAGATAGCTCGATCCACTATGGTATTTTTAGAATCAGAAAAGTCTTTTTGAGCGGTGGTTGGATTTTCTCCATGTTTATTGTTTGGTGATGTTGAATGGTGAGCTGGACGGACAATGCGGTAACATAATTCAGTTGGTTCACCATCAACACCTAAAATGATAATAGAAGACAAAATAAAAAATGTTGTACGAATAACATTTAATGCCCTCATCATAGTCTAAGTTAATGCATCGGATAGAAGTAATATGTAATACATCGAAATATCGAGCTTAATGTAATATCACACAATACTGAGCAAAATTGGCAAAGCTTAATATCTGATGCATAATAAAAAAATTCTTTGAGTAACAATCTATTGTTTAGATAGGTGGTTTATTTACGTGTAAGGTATTCTAGTACTCTCGTAAAGATGAAAATGACCAACGATACTCAATGTATTTGCGAACTACGAAATAATTCTCAATAGAAAAACCGGGAAGCTAGGTTTTTAACAACAAAGCAGTTCAATGTTGCTTCATTGAACTTACCACTACTTGGCTATTCATTTCACTGAAGTAGCAGTTAGCAATATTACGTAATAATTGACATACGCATGGCAAACTTTACAAACCCAGCTTTCGCTGATTAGAATGTAATTAGAAATCTAGATTTAAAACCGCTACTGCATTGAATAGATTTTACATCGAGCAGGGTAAAGAATCTGCCTACAGGAAATTATTTTGTTAAATTATACCACGATTTTTTAAACTTGATACTTGAGATGTATTTAAACAAAAGAAATTGGTCCTTATGCTTTATGCAAATAGTTCCTTTTGTACGGTCGAGAGTGGGGAGAGTCAGCTCTCCTTCTCAAATGGCCACGTACAACCACTGGCAGGGAAGTCCTACTCACTGCCTTCTCGTGGCCGGAGTGTTGTTTACGAAATTGAGAGGACGAAAAGCGAATGTCCGGCGACTTTACCGGGTTGGTGGACACGGAGAGTTCACTTAGAACGGTCGGAAAACCCTGATTCCAAACCAATAGTGCACATGGGCTCCAGTACCCTGAAGGAACAAATGGCGTATGAACCAACTGTTGGTCACCGGCTACCATGGGACTGCATCCTGACATCGCTGAACTACCTTGTGGACTAGATCATTAGGTGTGGACTTCCAAGAAAACCACCTGCTTCGGTTTGGGCACCCGGGCAGTATGCCAGCTCTCACACAAATCGAATGATTTATGTGACGCATATCTATTTGGTGCCTCCTTGTATCAATGTTTATGTGTTTAAATAAATTTTTGTATTTAGACAACCTTTATAAAACAAATAAAAATAATATATTTGTAATATCCCAATGAGTAGAAAATTGGATTTTTTGACGTTTCGTGGCTTAGTGTAAGTCACTTCTTCAGAGAATAAATAACCAAATTAAATTAATCCAAGTTTAAATAGTACAACGGAATTAATTTGCACATCACATAGAGTAAGTTCTGAATGTCTAGCACTTTTCTGTCATTGATATACAAAGGAATTCAGTTGAAATCGAATTCCAGCTCTCATATTGATGTATTTGAGTAGATTAATAACAAACTATTTTGCTGAACAATGCTTCTAATCTAATCTTATTTTATAACACCAAGTGAAAACTGTTGTTAGGTTCGTATTCGTGTAGAATTTGGGAATACCTGTGGTATGTAGTATGAAATCACCAAGTTAATTTAATTTCAGCAAATGAAATATCACATTAAAGCAGTCGTTTTGAAAGGTCGATAATAAAACTAATACGATCTTTATAACAATCGAAATGTTGGTAAACACTGGTTAATATTGGAGGTGAAGTATGCTGAGTCCTTTAATTCCAAAACGTAGTATCGAACAATTTCGAAAATACATACAGATATTTACGGAATAAATTATGTGGAACGATAAGTTTGGGGTTTACCAATCTAAGACAAGTAACATGAGTACTCGTAACATAAAAAAAACTGACAGGAAGTAAACGTAAAATACATTAAACGTATATAATCTCACCTTGATCTGTGAGAATGGAGCCTATTTTAGTAATATTAGCGATAATATTTCCTTTAATACATCTACATCCAGCAACTGGTAAAAGTCCAGTCTTCACGACGCTTTTAGATGCTTTAATCGTAAACAGCTGGAGAATTTCTGCTTCACCTGAAACAAATGAAAAAATTGTTAAGCAAGCTGGTATACATGATTTGAAAGAAAAAGATTATAATAGGAAAATTTATGGATGAATGCGTGTCCATTTAACATTGTTAATAATGAAACTGTTAATCTGTGAGTGGTGATATTAAATAAACCTTAAAGATGGTAACATGAGTTCGAAAATACAAAATCGAATTATTGTAGACTTTTCATTGAGTATAAAGTAGACGTTGTAGAGAAAAGTTTGCTATAAGGAGAAAACTGGTTATAAACCGTGGGAAAATCAACAAACTACGTGATAATATGTTCACTCAAGTTTTTGTTCTTTGTAGCCACAGGTTTTTGTTAATTTAGGTCTCTTTATTCATTGCCTTATAAGAAACAGAAATCTATGGAGTCGTTGAATGTCGTCACTAAAGAATAACTTTACTGAACTTTCTATACCAGTGACAGTTGTTTACTCAGACTCAGAGCGTAACGTGTTTCCATACATCTACGGCTCTGGTATGGCCGAAAGTGGGGTGGGCCCTCCCTCTCGAAATGCTCTCACACGGTCACGCGTATATAGCCTCTGTCAGGGAAGTCCTATTCACTGCCTTCTCTTGGCGGGGGTGTTGTTTACGAAAATGAGAGGACGAAAAGCGAATGTCCGGCGCTTTAAGCGGATCCCAAACCAATGGTGCACATGGGCTCCAGTATCCTGCGAGAACAAATGGCGTATGAACCAATTGTTGGTCACCGGCTTCCATGGGGCTGCATTTCCCCACGATGCTCCACTGACTTGTGGATCAGACCTTCAGGTCGAAGGCTCGAGGAGTGGCCTCCTAAGAAAACCACCTGCTTCGGTTTGGGCGCCCGGGCAGTATCACAGTCCTCACATAAATCATTCGATCTATGTGGCGCCCTCTTGTACCAATATTTATGTGTTGAAATAATAATGGATGGTGTTACAAAAAGTGACTGATCATTGACAGTTGTACTCAAAGAATCATTTCTGACCAATCTAGTCACTTAAGTTGGTGTAGATTAAGCATCCTAAAATAAATTGCATTATTCTACAATAGGTGTCTCATTAACGTTACAAAGTGAACAATTACTGAATTAAAACAAATATTCCCCGCTGAATATTAGTGTGGGATCTATAATTATGGTCGAAAAGTGAGCATACACTAGCATGGGATATGTTATTACAATATCAGCACATAAATGATATCTGTTCTACGGTGATCAGAGAAAATGCATCGTAATTAATAAAAGCAAGTTACGAGTTGTCCAAGAATATATATTGGTGTGTATTAAGAAACCATTTATTGGTGAACAGTCCTGGTAGTTTGACGCTAATGAGAGAGGAATTATTATATCTGATTAGTATTTCCATGTTTTAGTATATGAGTTTTCCAGTGTGACGTGTGTTTTTCATAAATAATATCTGCATCCTATACTTAAGCGGCTTTGTATATCCTAGGATTTAGCAAAACATACAGGAATACGGTAGTGTCCTTGATGTCTAATTTTAAGATAAACCAACCTACATTTATTCAAATTCGGGAAAAATAATTATTCAGAAAATTTAGAAACTAACCAATTATCTTCTCCACTGATACTGGTGGGAGCTTTTCATTTAATAGTTCCCTAACTTCGTCAGCCAATCGATAAATAATATTGAATTCTTTAATTTTAACACAATTATGTTCAGCTGTAATTGTTGCTTCTGGAAGAGCATGAATGTTGAATAGTAGTACATTTGCTAAAATTGAAAAATTCATGCACTACTTAGTTTAAATTTTAACTGTAGGCATCTGAATTATATCTTCAAACATATGATACTAGTTCGTGCAAGCTAGGTTGTTGGTTTACATGGTTATAATGATTTTACTAGTTAGAAATCCATACAGGTAGATATTTTCTAAGTAGTTTGTACATGACATGCTGGAAATTGATTTTGCGTCACAATCCTTGTGATTAAGGATGTCGCGCTCATTTTTATAGGCAATCTTTATCCCATCGAGTGTAATCTAATAGTCTTATGTATAATGTATAGAAAACAAGAATAAAGAACCACATTAATTAAACAATATGAATTGACTTGAACATTGTATCCTCTAGTTAAGCAGATCATATGACAGTACCTATCCAACAGGAACATTTAAATATATAAGAAGTTTGTCTGAGTTTCTATTCGACGTAAAATGGAAAGATTTTATACAACAGAAGAATTAGTACTATGTGTGACAAAAACACAGGACAATTCAAATAGTGTACAAATAATGTAACCAAAAATATTCACATTTAAAATATTGTTAAGTGGGATAACAATTTATAGGGGTAACCAGCATAGATATTTTTAATGTGTTTACAATATTTCTACATTTTATTTACTGCAAGTATTTGTTCGACTCATTATCTGTTGCTATATCGTTTATCCACAACTTAGATTTATATCGCAAATATTCCCGCTGCAGATACATTGGATGTATTATTTATATTGTTTTGTGATTTTACGTAAGTAACCAAATTTGAATTATACAAAGTACTTGTCAATCTCTTTGGTGTTCTACTTAATAGTTTTAAAAATAGGTATTTCCTAAGGGAAATTAAACGTTGACATATATAGTACATGTAATGAAGTTTCTGTTGTTAAAGTAGATGAAACTATGACAAGCATGAATATAAAAACTACCTTTTTGTTTATAGTGTCCAATCTTAATGATATGAGTAATTTAGATTAAAATGGTAAGAAGCACAGAAAGGAAGACACATCTGATCAATACGATTTCATTATTTGCAAAATTTGGTCGCATCCATGTAGAAGATACTACCTCCCAAGAAAATTCAGCTTCCAATCAAAACTTGTGACGGTTGATCATGTGAATTAAACAAGGGAACTACTGTTTTTACCTATTGACGAATATTATTTATAGACTTTTTACTTCTGAGTAGTGATTTTACGGGTTTAAAAATAGCGGAAATCACATTAATGGGGATTCAAGTTTCATTTATTAGCTTTTGCTTGTAAACATATGTGATATGAATAACAACACTGTTCCGCAAAGCTGTCAATAAACTCCAATGTGATCTTTATGTGGATAGTGGCTTCAATAAAATATTCAGGTAGACAAGTGAACATTAACAATTATCTAAAGAGCTAGATTTTTAGAAGCACTGCTCAACTTTATGCTTGCATCGAGCAATTTTCATTTTTTTATAGTGATTACTTAAGACAGTAACGTCTCCGAAACGCTCGTTATTTCCAAGCTCATGCGGATATAGAAGCTTTAGCATAAGTACTATATAAATACACACAACTGATAGATAATCACATCAATTATATAATGACAGTGGTATGTTATGATTAGGGTCGTTCATATTTTTCTAATATAAATTCTGAATACATGATAAACTGGTTTTTTAGAACCAACCTTTAAAAAACACAAATCAACAAAATGTTGTCCATGATGAAAAAATCAAAGCAATCTAATAGAATAATACCAACCTTTAACTGCAGCGGCCGCGTCTACTTCAAATTCAGTCAACGGACCAACACCGGTAATGCAGTATTCTATTTTACATTGATCTGATGAATAGGTAGAAAGGAGTGTTTTTATCGCCTCTAAACTACCCTGTACATCACATTTGATTACAAGTGGTAAGGAAATTCTATTAGAATTTTCCTTCCATTCAGCTGAATCACGTTCTAACTAAATAAAATTTTAAAAAATTAAATAATGTAAAGTACACTGATGATTGAGATGAAAGTTAAGTGGATTTTTTCGACTAAGTTATCCTTATTAATTTGTATTCTATTACGAATTTCAAGAATAATCAACTTACTAAATGAAAGAACTAAGTGGTCAAGTATAGATTCATGAAGTCAGCTCTAAGCCACAATTTGGATATGATAGTCTGGTTATATTACACAGACATCCAAGCCGAAGAAGCGACCAGATCGATCACCGAAATCAAAGTACTATAACAAATAAACCACCGGACTACAAGATATAAGACTAAAAGGAAGGACACCAGATCAATCTAACGTTTATTAGTTTTATAAAGTCTGAGCTGTCAATGCGTGATCAGATTGTTCGAAATGCATTGCAGTAATGTATCACATAACTCTGATAATCTTTGCATTATTCAAATGTTTCTTAAGAATTACTTAACTTATTAAAACTGATGCTTCAGTTTGTGAGAGTAGAAATATAATGAGAATACAGCTGCATTTATATTCAGACACTCGAATATGATTTCCGAAATTGTACCTCGTAATACACCTTGAATGTACAGTATTGTGGGTTTAGAAATTGTTTTAACAAGTCTAAATGTACAATATATTTCGATAACTTGATACTGATGAGTTTTTAACGCATTTTTGTTTGCCAATAACTGTCATTTAAAAAAAAATGTAAATTGAATCTTCTATGAATTATTAAGAAAACTTGACATTAATAGAAAAACAATCCTATTCATTAGTCATACCAAAAGTGGTGAGCCATGAATAATCTGGTTTTATATTATGAATATAGTTTAGAATAAACAATTAGTTAATTGGTAAGATAACGATTGTTGTATTTCGAGAACAGACAGTTTAATAAATCATGTTTCCAAACATAATTTCCTGAAATTATTACAATGATTGATTCGTCATTTTTATATGATAAATAATAGGTTTTTTAACATTAGGAATTGGCATCTTTTCACAAATACCAATCAAGATCATGAAAAGCCGGGATTGTGCTAATTGTTTAGAGTAGGAAACGATTATTCAAACAAATTTCAGCTCCAAGTAATTAATTAGGATGCTATTGCCCAATAAATCATACAAAGAAATTGATGATTGGCTCGAATAGTGTATCATAACAATACAGTCTGATGTAAAGTTTGTGTTATTTAATATTTGTAATACCTGAAATGAGATTGCACAAGGAGTTCTTATTGTTGTACAGCAATTGATGGAGTGTACATATTTCTTTAAACTAAAGGATATACACAATTAAGTTTATACTCATTTAAGAACAGTATTCAGTGAAAACTACTTAAACAATATAGGGTTGTGGAGCTAAACCTTGTCAAGTGTCAGGAAGGTACCACCGAAGGTGGCCACGCACTATTGTGGACTGATTGAAGTTAGACTTGTATACCAATGGATCCAGGTTCAGCGGTCTAGAGGTTGAGCGTTCACACGCGAGACCAAAGATTCGATTTCCGCTTGCGGGATCGTGTATTAACTCTGCTGAGAAGTCCCATACTAGAACGGAACGCCTGTCCAGTACCTCCAGGTTTTCAATGGTTGTCGAGTTTTGAACGGTTCGTGACTTTAATGAAACTACACAGACAATCGATCACAGAATGGTTAAATTGATAAAAGTTTTGTATTAAGGAAGAAAATTAAGGTAGTCACATGAGCAGACCTAGTAATTAATCTACACTGAGACAAAATAAAGATTTGACAACTAAGGTGAATTTATGACTTGAACTTGTATACCTTTAGCTTTGAATTAATATTAAGCATAATAAATAACATCCAAATAACTTGAATAATTGTCAAGTTCAAAGTTTTCGTATGTACGTATTAGGAAAAATACCTAATTTGTGTTTGTGGTGTAAAATATTCCGATTGAAATATATTGTTCTGCATGATAATGCTTAGAGAAACCGAAACATTTTGTAGGGACGAAGAGATTTCAGTTATATTAGTATTTTAATTTGTGGTAAGTTGGAATTGATAGACTGTACACGAATAGATGATAGACATACTTTAAGTTTTCGCCACTGACGTAGATGAAGGCTCGAACGTTTTTCTGCGTATTTCTCGCGATGTTCTCGATGATGAGACGCTCGAAGATCATATGCATCACGGTCTTCTTTAACTTTGTCCTGTACCTTTAAACACCGCCGATATCGTTGAACTTCATTAGCTCGCTTCTAAAGTGATACGTGAAAACGAAAAAGACAACAAAACTGACAGTCTAATTATTCAACAAAAAATTTCAGATAATGTATACGAAATGAATTACAAGTTATTCATATGAAAACATGAAAAGTATCTTATAGGGATTTGTATAGACTAATGTTAAATCATTGAAATACATATACTGGACAAAAAGTCGATACGTTCGATATTGTGAGGAATTACTAAATTCCAAATGAAGAATCGCATTAAAATGAAATGTATTCAAAAAACCAATAATTTATGGGCGCGTTATCATAATAATTACTACATTTTGCATGTTTTAATCGTCGGAAATTGGGAAATACAGATGTTTATAGTAAATACAATAAATTCAAATGGATTATATGCTATGTACTTTTTATGGTACTAAATAATGGCATTACATGAATATTATTTCAAGACATTTTACACTGAACGACATGTAAAGTTCTAATTTTAATGCATATTCAATAATCTGCGGATGTTATATTGTATATTATGTATTATGTCGATAGGTCAGGCAATTTGCATATAACAGAAAAATAAGTAGGATGAAGATATATCCATGTAATCAACCGTTTAGCTGTTTCTTCAGCGAGGGGAATGTCAGTGATCCCAACAAGTCGGTATCTTGAGCAAACATCAGTCATGAATATGGCATCAATTAATTAGTTTCCGTTCAACTATTCAACAATCAAGATAACTGATCGAAACCGTGATTAGTATTCAGAAGTCGATTGAAAACATGTTTGCGATGAACAGTTCTGATAATGATATCAGTTTGCAACGAAAATCATCTTCAACTTGAATGAATCTCCATAATCTCATTCAATGGAAATATGTAATGACCTACAAGTCATATAAAAAAACAAGAAGTACAAGACTTACCGTAGATTCTACCTCTAGGATAAGATCTCCTGCAGAGGGGAGATCTTTCCAACCCGCTACCCGCGCTACAAATCCCGGTTTAACTGAATCCACGAGTTTTCCTGCATCGTTTAGCAAGATTCGTGGGGTACAGATTGCTTCACCAGCTATAAGTGGACCACTATTGGGTGATTTACGCAAAACACCTCGAGTAATAAGACAGGTAGCCGTTTTGCTATAAGAGAAGAGTATTAAGTATCTGTTATTTAGAAAGAACCCAATAATAGTTAAGCAAAAATCAAATAAATCCAAAAGCTTCGTTCCTTTAGATTGTGAGTGAAATCAGAAGAAAAAAACGACACGTCACGTTACAGGAAGGAGGAAATTGGAAAAATGTTAGTCTATGATTGAAAACACCTATGCATCTAACAAAGGTACATAAGATAAAATGGTTTTGTGTTAATTTGTCACATAGTTTGAAGATGATTTTAACCTAGAACTGATATAATTTAAAGTATCAATGAAAATCAGGGAGCATTAAACAGCTGTTTCCTTTCAGTCTGAGATAATTCAACAGTGGACAGGCACAAGTCTACACAAAATCGATCCCATAAACGTCAAGATTCATGACAGTTCATAAAGTACAAACTAATATCTACACTAGTCATATATATCACTTGTCTTCAGCACAATTCCAAATACAAGTATGTAATATGTATTACAATCCCTGTAATAGAAAAGCCTATGACATTTGCTTTTGAACTCAATTAAGTGACACGTTTATAAGTGTTGAATATGGACAAGCATCATATTGGGGAAATGATTTTAAGAGAAAATAGCATGTTTTGAATACTTTTTAAAAAAAATCGCAATACATTAGACAATAATCGATCTTAAACACATAAACACGTGTACAAATACGAAAATTAATTTACTAATAATTACCCAATCCCATGAAGTGTTTCCGATTCTAAAACAATACCTTCAGTCAATCCGGTATGATCTGCTTTCAACTGCATTATTTCAGCTTGCAGAATAATAGCATATAATAATTCAGAAAGATTTATTCGTTTTAATGCTGATATTGGAACTGCTTGTATATCTCCACCTAACTGTTCAGTTAAAACTTCATAAGTAGCTAGACCTTGGACTACTTTATCCTAATATATAAAAAAAATTGAAATTAGTATCTTTTGGCTGGCGTATCATTCGATGATTATGTAAACATTAGCATAAAGTCTAATTATACATTTTACAGTTTAACTTTTATTTATCAACAATACATAAAGCACATACAAACTAAAGAAACTCTAGTTAGAGGTCAATCAAACAAGACATTCGACTTAAATACACAAATATATGAAGACAACGAAATCTGTAAATATCACCAACTACATCATTGGTTTCGTAATAACAAGACGCTTACTTCTACACGAAGAAGACGTTGATGATGCCCAAAACAACAATAAAAGTTCGATAATAAATTATCTAGCTCAGAGAAGTGAACAACATTAAGCATCCATGAGAACTACAAATTGAATCTATCACAAGTTACGTTAGGTTTGATTTAAAACTAGATGATATCAAGTTTAACACCAGTGACGTGTATATATATCGCTTGATCTTGCAGATTGTCATTTACTTATTATTGTACTCTTATTTACAGCAAAAAACAATACTTGCAAAACACAGCATAACACAGTATCTAATCTAATGCCTAAATCCAAACGCCAAAAGAATTATTTAATACACATTTAGGTCCTAGCATAACACAGGTAAAACATACAAATAAATAGATTCTTCTGATCCAGGCATGGTTAAATCTACTATACTAAAAGAAACGACTTGGATCCTGGGAACACTTCTGAGTGTGGTCTTATCACATTTGTTAAACAAGGACGTTGTTCCTGATAGTTGGAAACCAAGATGCATAGCATTGATTTTAAGAGGTGACCGTGAGTTTGACCACAAACGAAGGATGTTACGTAAGGAAATTGGGAAAAGCTTGCGTAAGGAACGAGAAGCCTGGTGGTTGGAGCGTGCTAATGAGCTGGAAGCAGCAGCTGCATCTGGTAATTACCGGAAGCACTTCCAACTCATCCGAGCCACTGGCAGCAAGAAGTCTGGTGTGAGTGAAACAATCTGCGAGGATGATGGGATGCCAATCACTAACATCCATCGACGTCTTGGACGATGAGCAGAATTTTTCGAAGGGCAGTTCAACTGGACTGCTGCTCCGGCAACATCGGTCAGACTGTCCTGCCCTCCATGGCCGGTGATGACTGATCCACCAAATGAGGCGGAAGTCCGCAAGGAACTCCAACTCTTGAAGCGTTACAAATCACCTGGCCCAAATGACTTACCTACGGCTCTTTTTAAATATGGTGGTGACTTTCTGGCTAAGGAACTGACAAGGTTGTTTACAAAGTTCTGGGATCTCGAGAGTGTACCAACGTCATGGAATGAGTCGATAATTGTCCCTATCTTTAGAAAGGGTTCACGTCGTTCCTGTAACAACTATTGGGGGATAAGTCTACTTCCGACTGCGTCCAAGCTATTGGCTTCCGTTATACTTCGTAGGTTGTTCAAAACCCGAGAAAGATTGACTCGCGAGGAGCAGGCTGGGTTTCGTTCTGGTCGAGGATGTATTGATCATATTTTCACCCTCCGCCAAATGTTAGAACACCCCCATACTTATCAAAGGCCAACAATCGTAGTGTTTCTTGACATCAGGGCTGCCTTCGATTCGTTGTACAGGACTGTTTTCTGGGATTGTCTATTGAAGAAGGGTGTGTCTGAGAAGTTTATTAACATTCTAAAAGCCCTATATAAAAACACCTCAGGCAGAGTGAGGGCATACAACCACCTTACTCCATTGTTCCATTCGAGCAGTGGGGTTAGGCAGGGTTGCCTAATCTCACCATTCCTCTTCAACTTTGCCATCGACGACATTCTGGAAACAGCTCTGATGAATGTAAGTAATGGTGGTGTGGATCTGTTGCCTGGAGACAGACTTCTCGACTTTCAGTATGCGGCTGATATTGTCTTACTGTGCGATAATGCCAAAGGCATATAATCCGCACTTAATCAGTTGGCAATCAGTGTCCGTAGGTATGGTATGTGCTTTGCACCCTCGAAGTGCAAAGTACTACAAGACTGGCAGGATTCTAATCCTGTACTCACCCTGGGTGCTGAGCAGATAGAAATAGTCGAGAAGTTCGTGTATCTGGGTAGCTGCATAAGTGCTGGTGGGGGTGTGAGTGAGGAGATCAATGCACGTATAGTGAAAGCCAGAGTGGTTTATGCTAATCTGGGCCACCTTTGGCGCCTTGCAGATGTCGGTGAGAGCAGTTCTGCTCTATGCTTGTGAAACCTGGCCTCTCCAAGTTGAGGATGTTAGACGACCCTCTGGATTTAATCATCGTTGTCCCCGAAAGATTGCTGACATCCAGTGGTAACACCATTAGATGGTGGTTGGAGGTAGTCAACAGGAAACCCTGGACCCGGGTTTCGTGCTACTTCGCACTCGTCAGCAATGTGTACCTGTAATCTTGAGGAAACTGGTGCCCCCTGGCGGATTCGATCTCGTGTCACCCAGCTTCACAGTGAGAGACGTTACCACTGAGCTATCCGAGCCGCGACTGACCTCCTGTAGGACTGAGATGTAATCTAATCTCAATACATAGTGCCCGCAGTGTCGAGTCACCTAGACTGGTGGCCACATTGCAACATGATCGATAGCATTCGATCTGCACTAATAAAGACTAGACAAGCATTACATTGATCACCACCCAGTGATCAATCAATTGTGATTACGTGTCAGGTTCTGAGTCGTGCTTGAATAGACTGACCAGCGTTCGACCACAAAACAAACTAAAAAGACGAATAATCAAAAACATGAAAACTTAAGCAATGATTTTACAATATTTACACAGTCGAAGAGTCGGAGTTTTAGCTTGATAAATGAACCACATCTGAGTAGAAGAAAGATGTGCACCAAAAATTTAAAGTGCAGTCTACCCTTTTGAAGAAGCTTTCTTGAAATAAAAACGTAAAGCAGAACAGAAAGTCTAAGTGTCCATAGGTTTTTCGGTCAGCGTTTTTTTGCAAGGTTCTTTTGTGGGGATGGATTTGAAACGCAAGACAAAGCGTTCGGAGGCTCTAAAGGATTCGAAGAGATTTCGTACAATTGGAACTTGTAGAGCCTTCTAGATTACTAACGTGACATGCGACGATTAGACAGTCGCATAAATTGCCTCCTTGGAGATTGGGAGAATTATGATGGTATCTATAGCCATTATCAATAATTATAAACACTCATGTTTTTTATACATTTGTGATTTTTACGCAATACCTATTTTCGCTGCTTTCCTTCGATCTTTTGATGTGCGACTATAGGGGTTTTACACGTTCTACTTACGATAGTTGTATACTGTATTCTGTCGTAATCAAGTAGCGAACTGGCGACGAGGTATACCAATTGCAGTGCCAGTAACTCTTGAACAAGTAGAATCTTTGCTTGAACGTCAGGAAAAACGGCATGAACAGTCCCAAGTTTGTATCCCGGGAATCCTAACGCAATAAATGAACCTTAATCACAGAGGACTTACTGAATACCCATGTAACCCGCATACCGATTTCATCAACAATTCTATTCATGAAACCTGATTCAAGAAATGTGAAGATTTTTCAAGATCCACCCCAATAAACTTGAACACGAAGCTAACAGTAATTTCATTTTCCAAATAACCCAGAAGACTTTTCTTTTGATGCAACAATTGATGTCCTGTCACAAATCTTTGATGAACAGTCATCTTTATTTAATCATCTATTATCAGTGCCTCAAGATAACAGAGGCTGGTGATGATGACTCGGTGAAACATTCAGCTTTAGTAAATCGCGATTGCAAGCGGCTTAAACAATCGGCAATGATAGAAGGTCAGTTTAACAGTCTTATATCTGTGTGCAGTCTCCAATCTCCTGAAGATGCTGATATCAGAACCAGAATTTTAAGTAAAATTGAACGATATTCAAACATAACGCTACAAAAAGTAACCACAGAATAGCGGAGACTGGTAAACTTGAAACATAACACCTCCATGGTTGAAAACAATAGCTGGTCGCTATACGTTCATGCTATATGCGAAAAGATTCGAGATCACAAAAACCATCCCACATAGACAACCGGCCTTCATCTCTATGTTGGTCATGTGGAAGTCGACATTACAAGAAGTTTCGTCCATATAAATGTCACAGTAAATGCCATAAAGAGACCAGCTGTAGAAAAAGAACCTATCGAGATCATCCATGGAAACCCTATTCCAAGAAATACAGACCTCGTGTGATAACTAAATATTGATAGTTCATAACCGAGAAGGTATTTGCCGCCGAAGAAAATATGTAACTGTGGACGTTAATAAACACTGTATCTTTCTTCAACTCGATACAGCATCTGACATTACTCATACCACCCCAGAAACATGGAAGACCCCCAGTTCGCCCAACGACGATACTAGCACACAGTGCTTCCGGTGGAAAGTTGAATATTGTTGAAGTATCCTGGACTATTTCTAAAGGTAACGCAACTACGAATGCAACAATATACACTACAAAGAATCCATCCCTCAGTTTACTGGGGTTAGATCCGATAGAGACACTAAAATTAGTAGTCCATTCATCTAACTACATTTGCATCCGAGTCAGAACTAATAACCACCAGAGGGTAACGAAAAAACTGTGTTACAAAGACATCACCACGTGGTCACAGAAGGATTAGGAGAATACACGAAGGCTAAAGCATTAATAACCCAAAAATCTGGAGCTACTCCTGTTTATCAAGTAATTATCAGTGTTTCCCGTGAGATACATGTGCAAAGGTACTAGACGTCTGTCAATAACATTGGAACCGGTCTCAAACGCCAATACATGTCAACAAGCAACACATCTACCCAAGGATGTTTCCACGATCATAAGATAGAGGAGGTAAACAGCTTATCCCCTGGTGAGTTTTTTTATGTGATAACCTCATATAAGTCAGGTAGGTAGTATAAATCATATATGGAATGAATTCCCTAGTGTTAGTGTAACCATGTAGGTAAGGATTACAATTGATTTGGCATACAATGGGATGGGTTTCATTCTCTTCTCGAGTCGCGTCGACACATTATACCAGGCTAGTGTTGTTATGTAAACGGTAGGAGTAGTGGAAGTTTTATGAGATGGAAAGATGGATTGTTTGAGTCATACACAGTAAGTAGCTAATATTTAGTGACATAGACAAATTCCCTTCAGTGTAGTATTAGACAACAAATCATGCATCTCTCACAAGTCGGTATTGATCTCATGGAAAACTGCAAATAGTTGAAAATTAACTGAATTAACGAATGTTTCTAATCTGCTTTCTCAGATTCTATGTTTTTAATTAAACCAATTATCAGATTCATTAACTATTTCAGAGTAAATGAGCATTATTCTCTCATCAACAATCTGATTCATAAAATTTATTCATGTTTGCCCTTGCTCAGTAAATTCTCTACATAAATTTTCGCATTATGTGCTTCATCTTCTTTTCCGATAGCACTCCACATATGTGGAGTGCTATAACTCGGAATAAAGTATACATGTGCCAGGTTCCATGCCATCTACAACCGATTGGTCGAAAAATTCGGTTATCAAAACAAGCGAACCTACCATAATTTTGTGAGACGTAAATAAAAGAAAATTATTATTATTATTCAGTTGCTTTTTATATATATATATATTATTCATTGCTAAAAACAATAAATTTTTGCTTACCATATTGATATCGTGTTTATCAATTTTATTGATTGCGACAACTATAGGAGCTAAAACGTTAATATACATAATATCCATTTAGATCGTTTCATAAAGAATTTCATCATATCTCAAATAATAGGTAATTTACAAATTGAATTGATAATCTATTGGATAGTATTTGAAAGCGGAAGTGAGCTTACAATCTTTCATTAACATCGGTTAGGGTAAAATGACAGTACCATTATCTCTTACATCCCTGAAGCATGACTCAAAATTACATTGATTAATATTGAATAAATAATTTAAAAGTCCACCTGGTGTGCTTGTGAGGTTACTGTCGGTCCCAAACTTAGGCAGACAAAGAGGGTTGGACATGTGATTGTAAATACAATTCCTTGAAAAACAACATTGCCAAAAACGCAAACTGGAGAAATCACTCTAACTAGTTAGACTCTATCCTGGGAGTCGAAGAGTCTTCATAGAAAACGGCTTTAACGCCTCAGGCGGTGTGATATGCGTCTATCAATTAAAAGACGGGTATACTGCGCAGCAGTTTGTTCTGTTCGACTTTATGGCTGCGAAACAAGGCCATTAAGAGTAGAAGATACTAGTAAGCTACTAGTATTTGGCTACAGATGCCTGAACACCGATTACCACGACGTGCAATGCTGACTAGTGTTGGGGATGCCTGCAAGAAGGTTAGAGGCGGCCAAACTAAAACGTGGCATCGGTGATTGAAGGCACTAACTTCTGGTCTCAGCCATGTTGGTAGATGCAAACTACTTGGTTGGGGTCCGCGTGACTATCGTAACTAATGGTTGGAGACTGTGTGACATGGCTCAGAATCGATGACAATGGCGTAGGTGTATACACTCTTTGTCTTGCCTTAAACCACGAGATTAAAATCACTCCATACTTTTCTTTCTACAAATTAATCCTTTCTCCCTGTATCATATCCTTAGATGAAATGTATTTCTTATCTACCACTGAAGTGACTACTTCTATGAATTTGGTGTTCATCTTGTTGTGCTAATGAGGTGTGTCAAATTGGACCGATGCACATACGTGCCTGGTCCTACGTTGTAGCTGACTGACTGTGACGCGTCATGATGAAAACCGATATTTTTGGGAAATCTCGAAGGATACAAATTGGCTCTGGTCGGAGTAAGTGAAACTCATTGGACAAAAGCTAGCTTCAGGAGAGCTTATGTCCTATTCTAGCTACGATGAGTAAAATGCCCTACAAGCACACAAGGAGTTGCACTAATGCTGTCCAAAGAAGCATGGAAAGTGCCCACAGGATGTGGATCACTTGGCTTCGGAACGACCAAAGCACCCTTCAAAACAAAGAAGGAAGGGATTACGATATGTGTCATTCAGTGATACGGGCTCATCGATGACAGCGGCAGATATGGTAAGCATCAGTTTTACGAGAGGACACAGTCCATTGTAAAGAACTCCCCTGGAAAGACCTAGTGACTTTGATGAAGAACCTGAACACCAAAGTCGGGGTGGACACCAACAGGTACGAAGGCATCACAAGGCGACATGGACCAGTAGTTAGGAACGAGAAAGATGAAAGGCTAGTCGATTTCCGTGTTTTTAACATGATAATAGGTGGCAACACTTTACCCACAAACGCATAAACAAATCTATATGAGCTTCACTAAATCACCACAGAAAACCAGATCGGCCACAGATGCATAAATAAAAAAATTCAGAAGGCACATGAAAGACGTAAAAATAAAGAAACGAGCTGATACCGCTTGATATCATCATCTGGCGGTGGCCGAGCTAAAAGTGAAGCTAAAGAGACACTGGACAATTGGACAAAGAGCGCAACAAGAGTATAGCACACACCACCTTCGAGATGCTAACCAGCTCCAGAAGCACAATATGGCTCTCAACAACAAGTTCTAACACTTACAAGATCTACTAGAAGAAAGGGAGGACACTTTGTAAAGAAGCTGGGAAGAGATTAAAGAAGCAATAGTTTCAAAATGCCATGTTTTGGATTTCAAGGAGCACCAGAATAAACAGTGGATCTCTGTTGATACTCTGAACAAGATTCAGGAAAGGAAGAACAATAAGAGTAGCCAACAACACTAACGAAATAAAAGCATGGAAACCTAAAGAACAGGAAGAATATACAGAAGCAAACAAACGAGTCAAGAGTATTAGATGTGACAAGAGGAAATATGTGGAAGACCTAGTAATGACAGCAGAAGCTGCAATTGAAGGAAATATGAGAAAATTATATGATACAAATAAGAAGCTATCGTGGAGATATGGTAAACCAGAGTAACCAGTCAAGAACGGGGAAGCTAACTCAATCCCTGAAGTTCAACATCAGCGGAACAGGTGGGTAGAACACTTTGGAGGGCTCTTGAATAGACCAGCCTTACCGGGCCCATCGAACATCGATACCGTACACAACGACCTTCATATAGATGTTACAACAATAATCGAATAAATTAGATTAATCAAGTGACAAAGTAACAGGACGACATAGCATACTAGCCGAGATATGGAAGTGAGATTTAGGGGTAACTGCAAAGATGCACCGTGTTCTTTGATAGAAATTCGAGAGGACGAGCAGGAACCAACAGACTAAAAAGAGGGATGCCTCGTCAAGCTATTGAAAAAAAGAGATCCTAGTAAGTGTAAGTACTACGAAATAATCACAATACTGTCAGTGTCAGGCAAAGCTTCCAAGTGTTGCTGAACCCAATGAAGGATTCAGTAGAGAGACGCCTAACGTCAAGACCGAACCGAGACACTGCGGATCATTCTTGACGAACCAATCGAATGGAACTCATCGCTATACGCCAAGTTCCTTGATTATGAGCAAACATTCGACAACGGCAATAGGAAAACCTTATGGAATTTTTTTGACACTATGGAGTGCCTAGAAAGACTGTCACCGGCATACGAAAGCTTTAAGAGGGACTGAATTTTAAAATTTCCATAGACGTTAGCCATCAGAAAAATTTCAAGTGAAAAAGGTCGATTACTTTCGGATTTTCTTTTTCTTCTGGTTGTTAACTGGATTATGAAAACCTCCACATCTTTGAATAAGCCTGGAATACATTGTGCAACTTGGACGATTGGATCTTTCAGGTGACTTAGCACTTCTATCCCATACATAGCAACACATGCGAAATAAGATAGCCCGTGTAGCAGTGGCTTGCGCAGAAGTAGGCCTCAACATTTACAAGGGAGAATCAAGATATTGAAATACAATACCGCAAGCACCAACGAAAGCACACCTGTTGATGAAGCTCCGGAAAAGATAGAAGCCCTTAAATACCTGAGTAGGATCATTGATAAACAAGGATGATCAGACGATGATGTGGAGGTCAGTATTGACAGAACGAGGGTGGCATTCCTACGATTGAAGGACATCCAGAACTACAAAGAACTACCACCTAACACCGAAGTCAGGATTTTCAATACAAACATTAAATGTTCTGTTGTTCAAAGTTGAAACAGCTGTCTGTGCAAGATACTCTAGATCAATTAACCAGAGTCTATCGGTAATAACTTACTTTTGCAGAGAACAATCCAACTTTCGACTGATGAGGAAATTAGGAACAGACGCCGAAGGTGAATAAAATGGAATTTGAGAAAATTATCAAACTACATCATACAGTAAGCCCTAATTTAAGATACCCAAGTCAGAAGGAAAAGAGATAGACCAAATAACACATGGCGTTGGGAATGGGAAGCAGACATCAAGGCCATGAACAGCAACAAGTGGAAAGGAGAGCTCAGGACAGTTAAAGACTTCTGGTCTAGAACCTATAGTCCATGAGGAGTAACAGTATTAAGTAAGTTATTCTAAATTCAATAAGTGAGAAATAATGAAGGATACAAGAGAATAAAATTAGAAATAATTTTACCCCGTTAATTCGGCCATAATTAGACTAATTCCCTTCAAGGTACGAAATAAGTGTACAATACATTTCATGCGCAACACGTCCCCAACAATACATATTTTTATCCTTAGTTACATAGTTTAGCTTGAAGGACGTTTAGTTTAATTGAAGAACACTTTCTCCAGTTGTGTTGAGTATTAACAAAAATGTCATTCATATCCATATACCATACGTCCGGAATGCCCTCACAATTGATGACATCAAGTGGTGTTTATCGGGGCTGCTCACTTTGCTCCGTTTCTATTTAACTTTCTGATAGACATTCTTCGGGAGATAAAGGTTTCAGTATGTGGTTCTTGGGGACTAACCTACTACCAGGAAATTCACTTGTTAACTCAGAATATGCACATGAGACAGTTGGGTTTAGCGAAAACGCTGCAAAAATGAAGTCTGATGATCGACTTTAGCAACAATAAAAAGGTGTTCAGGATGCGTTCCTCTCCCTAAACACAAAATGTTGCTCTAGAGGTAGTCGACGTCAACGTCTAAACTAATGGTAGGGAGGTAGTTGAGACCATTGACCATTTCACTTATTTGGAAAGTTCTATCAACCTTGGTTGGTATCTGACGAAATGTCGACAGGGATTCAGAATGTTCGCCTAGCTGAGGACTACTTGTGTCACTGGTGACTTAGGAGAGGTACACGTCTGCCAATCAAAGAATGAATGCAATGCGTGGCAGTTTGTTCTGTTTTACTTCATGGCTGTGAAAAGTGGTCTTTAAAAATAGGCGGCATTTGTAAATTGCTAGTGCCTAATTATAGATTTCTTTGAAGCATTGACAGTGCACGTTGGGACCACTGAGTCAGGAATGTTGGGGTTAGACGCAGGGTTCTAGGTAAAGACGACAAATCGGCAGTTGAGGGGGCGAGTTTCTGAATAAAGTGGTTAGGACCGATGATTTGCATGCTTAACCAGCGCCTAGCTTGACGAGTAATGTTGGTTAGTGTGGGGGTAGGTTGGAAAGCTTGGCATCAGTCCATGAATTCACTGATTGCCAAAATGAACCATGTTGGTAAATATAGTCTATCTAGTTGGGGTAAGCCTGCTAACAATGGGCAACACGGCTCAAAACCGAGCACAATAGCGGAAATACACTCACTCTTTGTCTTCTCTTAGATCCTGAGTTTTAGGATTGTCGTTTACTTCTAGTTGTGCAAATTCAGTTTTTCTTCTTAAATTATAGTGTGTATGAATTATCTTTTCTAACATCACTAATATTGTTATTACTTCTATTACGTTGGCATTTTTTCTAATAATTTCATTTTGCTGCGCTGATGTGGTGTTGCAACTTGCACTGTTGCATAAATGTGCCACGTTCTACGTCGCTTATGGATGACTGACTGCTTGATTGAAATATCATACTTTACAAGAAAAGAAGTATACTAACTCGATGAATTCGCCATTTCCCTAACTGGATTCAGGGTCTCCAGACATTTGGCGACTGTTTGAGATTAGTTCTACAGAATATCGAGCTCCGTCAGAATGTCGTGGTACCGCCTACCAATACCGTTTCAGAAATCAACTAGTCATTTTATAAGTTTGACACTTGAACATTGACCTAATGTCTCAACTTTCATTAAAAAATGAGATATAAAATAATTACGACATAGTATATTTCAAATAAAGGATTACTCCAACATTCCTTTCTTCCAGATTACTTCTAAATTGCATGTTCATCGACAAGGACTAGCAAAACGATCTGTTCTTTCCAAACACAAAACAAACAGATTACGTTTGTACTAGTAATCGGAATACACCCATTCAGAGAGTGTAAACTACGTTATCATTACTCAATGCGTTTAAGAAGAGCCATCCATAAAATAAAACAAACTTATGGGAAAACTCACTGTTTGTTTCTTTTGCGTAACGAATTGCCTCAACAGTTTGAGGTTTAACCCCATCATCAGCAGCGACTACCAAAAGCATAATATCAGTTGCTTTTGCACTTCGAAAGCGAATGCCAGAAAATGCTGCATGGCCTGGTGTATCTAGAAAAGTGATGCTTCTGGAAAATGACACGGGATTGGGATCTGTAAATCCAGCATTGCGTTCAACAGATGACAAAGATACTGTAAATGCGCCAAGATGTTGAGTTATACCTCCAAATTCTTCGTCAACAACTCTACTGGAGCGTAAAGCATCTAACAAAGTTGTTTTTCCGTGATCCACATGACCCAGAACAGCGACAATGGGGGGGCGTGGTTCACATTTCTCCGGAGGACAAGGTGGTCTAAAAAAATGAGGGAAACAAGGTTGAGATAAAAAATGATAACTGAACTCAAATAAATAAGATATAAAGGTAGACATAATATGGGTCGATTTTCCTCATGTAAAAGTGAAAATTATTAATATAATTGGTTTAACCTGAAACAAAACTGTTAATTAGCATTGACTTCGAACTAATACCTAAATATATGTCAGGTAACCAGAATAACATTTTTTGATTGCAATTCAGTTAAAACATAATTATATGAACAAATAATATTCTTTTCAATAATTTCCTATCAGGTTCTATAATTATAAATCCAAATTAATAATCCATAAAATTGGCCAGATTTAAGGCAGAGTACATCATATAAAACTGTAACATGAATTAAAGAATATTTGTGATATAAAATAAAATAAAATCGTTAGTTTTGGGATGACTAATATGAAGTGTTAACTTGAATTAGTTTATAAGTGAAATGAAATTGTGAGATACATGATCAGTATAAATATGGTCAACATGGAGGTGAGAGAGAGGATAATGTAATTACATATCAGAAATTACGTAATATTATTTAGGTCAGATATAGCAGATAGGGTTGGATGCTGAATAAATTTCTCAAAAAGATTAGCAAGTGTAATTATAATAATAGTAATAATCATAGTAATAATAATAATAATAATGACAATAGTATCGTAGTGAAGGTAAACACAAGTGGTGACAACCGAATTATATTTAGCACATTACAGAGTTACTTGGCACAATAGAAAAACCATACTATGATACTTAATTTGCAAAATGTTCAATAATTGTCTCAGACTTCATTGTTCTTGCATTTCCAGACTAATTGCTTTCTATTCCCGTTCTTCCTTTCTTGATCTTCCCAATCTTCTGCTGCCAGAAATTTCATTCCTGACTCGCGTTATATACTACCTATGTCAATATAAGTAGACACACCACACTCGTCCACAATTTTAATAAGGTGTCTTCGCACTCCTTCTGATCGCCGTACGGATGCCTTCTTTGGTGCTGTTCGTGACCCACACTCATAATGGTCTTGAAACCATCTCTGTAGTTGACTGGCATTTACGCGCTTCTGCTTGTCTTCTCTCCTGATCTCGTAAACCGAGCCACGTCTCTCCGTGATGACGTACGGTCCTTCCAATTTTGGGATCAGCTTTCCCGACCTTGATCCCCCCGCTATGTTACTTTTCCGTTCTCTACACTGCACTATGTCCGCCACTGCGAAAGGTTTCCACGATCTCCTCTGTTGTTGCGCCTTCTTTATGTCTGAAATTTGTTTGTTTTCCACTACTACATATGTCAATATAAGTATCAGGCACCACAGTAAGATGTGTGAATAAGATAAGCTTAGGACATAAAAATGAAGATTAATCAAATTACGTCACTATATTATGAAATTGACTATTAACTAGTTGGGCCCGAAGCTGGCCAGGGTAAAATAAGCGGCTGAACAGATTTCTTTTGGATGCAAATCTCTGGCTTTTTGATTCAAATAGCAATTGCTTCAGCCGTCTGCAGGATTCTCAGTCTGACAGAATTAGGTAGACTGCTGTCAACACGATATTATTATTGCGAAAGATTGCTCCATGTTGGTTGTGTGTTGCGTCTGAATTAAATGGGCTGAAATGAAGCTGTTAACCGTTTTAACTACACATTTGCTTAACCACATTGGGAGGTGCTCACGAGTCCGAATATACAAATTCCTAGAACATCTGCCGATATAACTTGCTCCACAGGAGCAGTTGAATTGATGGATACAGAAACAGGTGGCTAGTGTAGGCAATTTATCTTTCGACCTCGGAGTGATCATTGAACGTGTGGAAAACACCAAGTGTAGTTTACCTGCATTGAAAGTTTTGTACAAATGTTGTTTCCTATTTTATGATACGATGTGGTCTGTTTGATTTGTATATAAACCCAGCAAGCCTGATATAAATGATTCATATTGCAGAGGCTCAGATCGGTGTCCTGGACTTAACTCGCTGGGCTAGGCGGAAAGCAGGACCAATAAGGATTCGAGACTGCTCGCACGGGTTTTATGCGTCATTGGTCCAAAAGATAATCCTTTGCTCTCTGATTGGCGGTATCGTTATGTTATACAATAAACAGGGCACACATGTCACAAGTTACAACCAAAAGTTGTTTGGATTGATCTGCGTAACTTCTGTCTTAACATTTCACTAAGTGCATCGCCTCTGGATTGTAAGCAAATATACAGAGGCTTTTTATTCACGCTTAGACATACTCTATGCTCTCTCTTATTGGCTATGTTTTTATTTATAAATTTCTCATGATGCCCATTTTCTTTCAAGGTTGTATATAATACCTTTGTTTCATCTTCAACCGTACCTAGAGGGCATATGGTCTTGATTATATGGTGCAGTGTATTGATCAGGTTCCTTTTGTATTGCAGAAGAACGAAACTAAGAAAGTTTGTATATTGGCCTGTGCAAGTAGTTTTCTTGTTTATGTTTCTTCTTAATGACCCGTCTTTTGTCCTCGTAAGTAGAACATCTAAAAAGACTATTCTATCCCCATTTTCTCTCTCACATGTGAATTTTATGGATGGGTGAACTGTATTGAATCGCTCAAGTGTTTTTATCAAGTCCGTATGGTCGTTACAAAGGATAAACGTATCATCCATATATCGGCAGTAAAATGAAAACTTGTCAATCTGTTGTGCCAGTGAACCGTTTTCTAGTTTAAAGAGAAAAAACGTCAGCCAATATGGGACCTAGGTGTGAACCCGTCGCGACACCATCTATTTGTCTATAATTTAGTTAATGAATGAATAATAATTATCGCAAACATAAAAAAAACTAAATGACCACGATGAGCTTCTTGAGATAAACAGAAATGTCACTTCCTAAATATATTTGCAATCATTTAGATACGTTATACGTTATTCATTATCACCCTTCTAAGGACATCTTTCATGAATAAAACTAAGTATCTTAACTTCAAGACCGCCATGTGTGCAAAATGATACACATGAACAAAGAATTAATAATGTAACCCAATAAAGATCCTATACGTAACGAAAAACAAAATTTGTTTAAATCAGGGGAATTCAGATCTTCAGCATGTGATGGAACCCAGCAAGTTAACAATCACTTACCTAGCTTTGAGCCACATTTTATGTGTGAACGCTTGTGCAACTACGCACATGAGCAAACCTACGTATGTGAAGTGACACTTGGACCTGGGAACTAGTGGTTAAAGGTTGAACGCCTTAACCACTAAGCCACCAAATCATCTCTACTAAGAATTCCATGACTCCAACAATTAGGCCATAGTAACTTGTCAAACAACAAACAAACTGTGTAGCCTAAACACGCCACAATCTAGTTGTCTCACTTCTCCACCTCACAAAGTGAGAACTAATACACTAGATAACTTTAGAGACTAATCCTACCGCTGATCGCTCTCAAGCTTATGACAATCATCATTTGGAATAGATAAAATCTAATTAAGCTTCTCCAAAGATACCTATATACAACCAATTTGGCTCATTTGCTCAAAGCTAAGTAAGTCTTAACAATTCAGTAATCTATTTAAATGCATTTTTGTGACTAAGAATCAGTAAAGTTTCATTGCAAAAGACAATTTTTAAAAATAACTTTGTCTAAAACGTTTATCTGCCGTAACCAATGGTTATAGGGTATGAAAGTATTAACTTTCTGGTTAATTTGTCTTAGCTTTCAAGTACTATGCCTCAAATTTGAACCGTGCTCCACTTACTTCGGGTCGACAAACCTGGTAGCACTAATATATCTCTCGAATTTAAAGTGTGCCTCATAACAAGTACCTGATAGATGAGTGGATTCTTTTATTCTCCCGAGGATTGAAACGAAAGTGGAACCAGTCGCCAAATCTATACTTGAAAGTAGAATTTAATCTCGGTATATACAATACTACTGTGTCAGTGGACTTGGATCTAAACAAAATTACACAGCAGCTTCAGATACGCTACGTTCTACATTAATTAAAAACGTCAACAATTAAATGCACTCTACTTTGTAGAAGTTGAAACATAATAGGGAAAGCACTTTCGAAATTTCTGGCCTCTTTTAGTGGCTCAGGAAATGTAGTGTTTTATTTAACTTATCCTCATTAAAATTTATTTTACAATTGTGGAGATTAAAGTACCTTGGATAAGCATCACAGTCAATTGTTTCGTGAATAATCTGGTGTCTGAACGCTGGTGTGAATCCCATTAATTTCACCAGAGTTTCGATTATCGCTTTATCTTCCAACTCTAAAGTTTAACTAACTGTGCAAAAGCAATCATACTTGAATTGGTGTTTGCTTTGTGTTTTGTAACAAGTGCTGAATTTAAGGTTCTAAGAATTATGTGAGGAGATATTTTAGCAGCTGACGACAATTCCTTGATAGTTATCCCCTCCCATACCTCAAGTTTGCTCTTCTTGGATGTCTTAAAACGAATATTAGTAGTTTAATTTTACTTACGAATGCAGGAGAATGAGATTTTGAACTGTAGCATACTTTGTAAAATGATGGTGAGTAGCACACTGACCAGCGAACTTTCCACAACTTGAAAATCATTTGCAGTCTTTTTGGAAGGTTTTAGGCGAAGTATGGTTTGTAATTCCGTGGCCTTTTTTGACTGTATCGATGATGAACAAGTACTTTGTTTCCCAAATATTTAATGTACCTTTAAAAACAGGGCGGCAAATAATAAAGCCCATGTAGAAACATACAAAGTTGACGTTTTTGTATTAGTTCGTTGAGTTTTTTTTCTCTTGATTATAGTATCTAAAAAGGAATGAGGAACGAAAAACTACACTCCCACAAATAATTTCTCTAAACTTAGAAATATTATTCGACATAAAACCGTATGATCATAATAAATTAATTATGAGTATACGGTTGTGGATATTGTTGAGTTGCACTGAAATCATGAACCAATTGGTGTTAGACCACCGTTGAAATTCTAGAAGCACTGGATGGCCGTACCGTGTTGATGTTTAAACTTAAAGAAACCCACGATGCTTTACGACCCACTTCCATTATCTTCGGTGGGCAACTGTCTCACACCCGACACTGCTGAACTCCACTAGTCACGACTTCTCACTAGAGCTCCAGGAATTACCTCTCGAAGCTAGTCACTAGTGAGCACATGATGATTATGAGTATAGGGTTGTGGAGATTGTTGAGTTGCATTGAGACCAAATAGCCAGGAGAAAACCACGGAAAAACCGTAGGGAAAGTAATATTACATTGATAAAAGTAAAACTACGGATCAAATGTACTGCAGCATTCCTGGGAAAGCACAGTAACGAGCCAGGGTATTATGTATTCGGAATATCACTTGTTTTCTCCAACATAATAAAATACAAAAACAAAGTTTGTTATTAAGTTTTTTATTTTTAGGACGAAAAGGATCGATACATCTTAGAAATACTCGATAAATATTTCTTTGCTTCGAATCTCTAAGAAATTAATCTAGAACCACTTGGTTTTTTAATAAGCAGTAAAAATGAAATAGTGTGTTAGATGTCAGCTGCTACTCCAAACGATGCACTGTCATTTGTTCTGGTAGAAAGATGACGGAAAATATCTTATCGTGAATATACAAGCATGACCATAATCTTTTTGAAAAAAACGAGGTGCGCACTAGCTTATCACGAGACTTAGAAACAGAATAGTTTCGTTTCATTAAATAGAGCTACTACAAACCTAAAATAGAAGTCTCCAGCGTTTGACGTATGTTATCTTTAAAGCACTGGTGCGTGCGATAAAGCTAAACGATAAGAATACCAAAAGTTATTTCGAGGACTTAATGTATAGGGTTATAAACCTTAAAAACACAGAGCTTTGGACTGTCTGTGTAAAAAGGCACTGCACATTGAGCAAGGCTAGTAAATGGCAAGGATAGTGCTCCAATCATGTGATGAAAAATAGAGAATACTTAGCTGTAAAAGTGGTCACACCATGAAAATCGAAAAGCTGGTAATTATCTGCTCACCACTAAATCTACTGATAAGTCTCCCTAGTAGGGTAGACTGATAAATTTCACGTGCTTGGAAACAACTCAATACCATTTTGAGGATACATTGTCAGGTGGAACTGTTGGAATATGTCAAACCTTGGTAAAGAAAGGGGTAAAATTCTAAATTATGTGAAATGGAAACTAGAGCCTTGATGATATGATATTATCTATACAAGGCGACATGATGTATGTTGACTTTGCTGTTTGTGGCAGGATACCCAATAACCCCTATAATCCAACATTTGTCCACATAATACTTAATTATTTTGAGGACATGAAACGTTGGAAATCCCACAATACAGAATTTTAAGTTACTTCGTTAGACAGTAGGTGTGCGACAAATATCTCTATTGCACGAAATTATGCTGGATTTGAGGTACCCATTATACAGAAGTATAATCGTGAATCAGAAGAAAAGTGTAAATGAGCTGATTCCTGGTGAAAGTCGGGATATTGCTTTGAAATAACAAAATTTGCTAGTTGAATTATTTTTTTTAATCTTGTCTAGGATGTATGCTGCATGCGTGAAAAGAGTTAACGTAATTAAAAACGACTGATAAAAATTACATATTTTGGTAAATAACAACTACGTATGGCTTTCCAGGAAATCATGAAATCACGTAATAAATAGAGTTTATACCATAACTCAAGTAGATCGTTCAATCAGATCACAATACTTCATACTGAAAACAAGGATCGAAAAACGCAGTAAAACGAAACAAATCATGATTCATTGTTGTAACATTTAAAGTAGGCTGTCAGTTCTTTAATCGCTACCGAGGGTTTTTAGCATGCCTTATTTATTTTAAAGATAGCGACACTCACGCGTTTACTTTATCCAAACAGTCCATCTAATCAGTAAACACAAAATATCCAGTATTTGGATAACTAGTCCTAAACACGTTGGACGTTTTGTGTTCTGTTGTTGTGATTAGAAAAAACTACTTTTCGATGTCAATCGAAATGTAAATGATCCTGTTTTTATAATTTATTGTCCAAATTGACGAGATTGGTGAATATTCCACCTATCACAAAGGGAAATCCTAAAAAAAGGTCATAATTCAATAATTATATGGGTGTCCAGAAGTAACTACAGGATTAGAAGGCTAAGTATACAGTAACTAGCGTTTCAATAATATGGTGTAAATGTTGATGATGGAATAAAAGCTTTTGCTTAGCTGGCTTTGTATCTAGCGGCAATGGAACCCCGGTACTTCTAGGTACGGACCTAGGTTTATTTAACAAAGAGAGAAATACTGTCCTAATACTTTAAGGATAGATTAAAGTTCTGCTAGGACTCCAGGGACGTTTATAGAACCAATTCAGCCAGAGTAGCTGCCCCTACAGTCCAGTTTGCTTTGTTATCCCTTGAATTTTTCGCCATCAACCCTAAGGTTTGTGTTGGAACTGAGCTTAAGTATTTTAGAGGGTACCCAGGGATGCTTAGGATACTACAGACCATTAAAATGTTGCCTGGGTTCTCTAAAAGTTAATGGATAACAATCCAATAATTTAAAACGTTCTTCATAAGGTTTGAAATGAAGTCCCCGAACTAAAGTCGTGCATTTACTTAGGATATGTTCCAGAGTTTTCTTCATATTTTAAAGTGCAGGAGAAAACATCATATTTTCGTACTCTAAATAGGGTTGAATAAAACTAATGAATTTACGTAAAGTTTTATCATCTGGCCAGAAACGTGCTTCATGTTTGTCGGTGCACGGTTTGCTCTAAATACATCCAGAGCAAGATTATTGGGTATTACATGAAGAGGTTCAAACTCTGGGCTATGAACAAGGAAGCTGTTGAGGATGTTAATATTGTGGCTCATTTCCTTACATTCGTTGGAAAAGAAGCAACGCTGATCCAGAAGCTTCAGATTATTATCCTGGATGCAAACTCCCCTCTAAAGTTTAACATCAGCAAGAAGCCATAACTCAAACGATACTTAGAGGGGAAGGCTATCTATATGGATTAAGAAAAGTAGTCCTAATGCCGAACCATGAAAGGACTTTACCATAACATTCCGTAGCCTGAGAAGTTTACCCTGAATCTGAACAGTTGATTATTTGAATATGGCTCAAAATAGTCCATTGATTGTGACTTGATGCCTATCAGCTTAAGCTTACTGGTGATACATATACGATTGATTGTAGTAAAGGCTTTCAAGAAACCGAGATATATCGAATCAACATTTATCTAGCGATCAAGAACGAAGATACATTTTACTCAGTCTATTCAAGCACAACTCAGAACCTGACACATATACACATCACTTTAAGTTGCCGTACCTTATTAGCATAACAAGATGAAATTATTAGGGCAAATTCTAGTTCAGTAGGGGGAGTAACAGGATTAGTGGTAGTAGAATAGATTAAACACCCAAGACACAATTCAACAAGTAAACATACATTAGTGAAATAATAGAAGTTTGTGGGGAATTTAGAAATTGGGATCTAAGTGAAGAGAAAGAGTGAGTACAGCTGCACCATTGCCAAAGATTTTGAGTCATGTCATTCAAATTCTCTAACAAATGTTAATGATAATCATACAGACCCCAACCAGGTAGCTTGCACCTGTCTACCTACAAAGCTCAGTCCAAAAGTCGATTTTTTCATGGACAGGTGCGATGATTTAGTTTGGTCGCATCTGGATTTATCCCAATACATCTATATCGGGTCTCATTGAGTATTGAGGTGGTTGGTGGATGAGCAGACGTAATAAATGTCCCAATATTCTGTCAACAAAGATTTATCACCTCATCAACTAGTTCCTCATACTTACGTAGTACTGTGCATATAATGCGAAGATTGAGAACCCAATGGTCCCAGAGTACACTAGAAATGCCTCAATGATACCTACTATCAAACACCAGTGACATTCTAATATCCTTGATTTTTGGAGTTCTTGTTCGACTTCCATAAATAACGGAGCGAATTGTTGTCCAGTAAACGCACCTACGCCAAAAATGGTGTCCTCTCGCAAACGCCAACCAGGCTACTTGAACACGTGATGAAACCTTGTAAGACGCCAGCTCACCAGGGATGATAAGACTCCCAAGCTAAGTGAAGTAACTGACGCGCTTAACTAGTCCATTCCCCACCCTCAGTTCAGGCCTTGAAGCACACCAGTCTTGAGGCAGTATTTAGCACCTAGGCGGACAGAAACACTATACACGTTCTCACATTGCCCCTTAAGGTGATCATAAGTCTGCATTCCTTCATTGCCTTTACTGGGCAGAACCAAAAAATCTACTTGCCACCGTTAGCAGATTGGTGATGCAGGTGCAGGTCCACCTGAAACTGTTTTCGAGGTGAAAATAAGTTTTAAGATAGCAGGCAGTTGCATAAGCTGTCGTACATCAAGGATACCATGACCTCAGAGAGTACTGGCAGAAATGCTACCGACAGTTGGATTGAAGGTTCATTACTTCGGTCACCTCTTATTTATTTATTTATTTATATAGACGGAAAACATGAGAACAAGATAACCTTGATGTATTGCTCCATTTCAAAAAGTGAACTTAAAGTTGTCCCAATAACCAATGATCAAGATATGTGTAGTAAGAACAGAACACCTACTGCCTATGCCATTCATTTCTGAAGTAGACCTCAGAGTTCTAGAATTGCATCGGTAGCTGCTTTCTGTACCTTTTCGAGTGATGCGCTCGTTTCAAAAAATGCAGTGATTTTTGTACTTATTGTGATTATACTTGCTTTAGGTAGTTATTGCACCAGAAAGCATTCTTGGTCTACTTTAACTTAAAGTACTTTGGTTAAAGTTTGAATTTTTTGGCCAATTTTTTCCTGAGTACCTTTTTTTACTCCTGACTAATACTTGTGTTCACATTGTGATCATTTTGTGTTTTTTAAACCTTTTAAATCGAATTACAATGGTTGGTAAGACTCAAAAATGTGGGCAACCAAATTGTTTGTTCCTCGTGGAGGAGGGAACGCAATGTGACGATTGTAAAAAGTGGTACCACAAAATGTGTACACGCCTAAGTTCGACGGCTTACAAAAGATGCTCGAAGCCTAACTCGCATTGGCTTTGTATACTCTGCTGTACGGATAAAAAGGCACTAATTCAGGAGGCTATGGGCCCATTGGCTTTGGCCTGCAAGAAAAACGATGGCGGAAGCAATGATAACAAGAGAACTGACGCTGAAGCATGAGTCAATGTAGTAATTGCTGCTAACGGACCCGTCAAACACCTGACTGTGGTTGACGGGAACGTGAAATCTCTGTTGACATTAACGAGGAATGAAGTGACGCTTGATATTGACATCGGCAGTCATACACCTCTAGTCGAAATAGAAGATCCGGATAAAACTGTCACCATTCTACGTAGTCCAGGTGTGTCTGTCCTGAGTGGTGACAAATGGACTTCAGTAAGGAGAAAAAGAAGTGGGAAAAAAAGACTGTGGGCAAAACGCAGCTGGTCAGCAAGGCATTGAAGGGGATGTTACCAGAAGAAAAATCCTCAGTGCGTGACAAGACAGATCTCTCTGAGAAATCAGTCATTTTTCATAAGATAAGATAATCTTCAGATAAAGAACCAAAGGCGAGATTTGAACACGATCTCAATCATATGAAGAAATCATTAAGTAAACTACTCCCAGATACAGTTTCAGGAGTTAGTTTTTGTAAGCCTTATAGAATGGGAAAAAGTGTAGATTCCGAAAGTCCTCCGATAAGCCGCCTTCTGAAGGTTACATTAAACACGGTGGAAGAAAAGAACCTGATTCTAAGTAATTCACGTAAACTGATAGGATCCGGAATATATGTCCGTGAGGATCTCAGCCCAACAGATCGTATTAAGAGACGAGCTGCAAAAGCAAAAATAAATGAGCGTCACCAAAACGGGGAAAGGAACCTTGTTCTTAAGGGTTTTCAAGTTGTAAAAGTTCGAAGCAAAACGATCTCTAAGCCACTCTGGGTGGCAAGGGAAAGGTCTCCAAAGACTTTAAGGCATGCTACACAAATGCTCGCAGCCTACTAAATAAAATGGCGGAGCTGAAGTCAGTGGTGGATAAAGAAAAACCGGACGTTATCGCTGTCTCGGAAACTTGGTTAACGTCAGAAGTATTAGATAGTGAAATCCAATTGACTGGTTTCATAACCAGTAGGGCTGATAGATTAAACCGAAGGAGAGGTGGGGTTATTGTGTACACGAAAAGTACCCTAACCATAAGATTAGCTGAGACAGTAGCACATGTTTCAGGGACATGTGAACTGGTGAGATGTAAGTTGAAATGCCGACGGCAAGATATTGAAGTAGTTGTAGTTTATCGCAGTCCAGAATGTGTAGCAGATGATTTTCTCCTTAGTAAACTTAAGTCCTGGTGTAACAACTGTAAAAGCCTTGTAGTAGGCGACTTTAATGCACCATATATAAACTAGGTTAACTTAGAAGTAGGGTCATCCGTATCGTCGTTCGACTGCAAACTGTTAGAAACCTCGACTGGACTAGCATTATTCCAACACATTAGAGATCCCACAAGATATGACTTAAGAAACTCTTCCTCTCTTTTAGATTTAGTTTTCACACACGGTGATGACGTTGGTCAAATGGCTTTTCTCCCACCACTTGGGAGAAGTGGCCATGCAGTCATCTTATTCAAATTCATGACTGAGATTGCCTGTCAAACAGTTGCGCCGGCCCGTCCTAATGTATGGAAAGCAAATATGGACGCAATCAACACCGCAACATCGGCTGAAAACTGGGAGACCGACTCAGGAGCATCCGTACAAGAGTCATGGACTCATTTCCAGCAGCTATATAATAGGGTAACTCAACCATACATACTTTGGACAGTCTCAAAGAAGATGAAGCAGGGCCATCCCTGGATAAGCCGGGATATTCGACCCATATTAAAACAAAAGAAGAAATTTTGGAATGTTGCCATCCACCTTGGCACAACAGGTACGATGGAACGCTACAGTCCGATAAGAAACGAGTATATAACTAAAATTCGGGAAGCGCAAAGAAAATATGAAATGCAGCTGGCAGAATCTGCACTCAAGCAGCCCAAGAGGATATTCTCGTACATAAACTATAGAACAAGGATTCATCATTGGATTCCCAACCTAATTAAAGTAGGAAGTGAATCTGAAATGATAGAAGATCAGGAAAAAGCTGAGGTTATGGCTAACTACTTTGGGGCAGTTTTCACTCAGGAACCTCCTCTAGAGAAAGAACCAGACCCAGATACAGAGTCAACAAACCAGCTGCTCACCGTGGACTTCGACCAAAACGATGTGCTTAAGGCTCTTAGCACCCTAAACATGGAGAAGTCAACAGGACCAGATGAACTACACCCTAAAATCTTGAGACATATTGCCGAATATATCGCAGCCCCACTGACTGTGATATTCAAAATGCCACTTGACCAAGGTGTGCTACCTATGGACTGGAAGAACGCAATCGTCACTCCCATGCATAAAACAGGTCCACGACAAGTTCCATCGAATTACAGACAGGTGAGCCTCACCAGTGTGGTAATTAAAATACTAGGAAGAATAATCAAACGGACCATAACGGCATTTATGGAAACCAATAACTTGCTGAACATGGCACAGCAAGGTTTTAGAAAGGGTCTATCCTGTACAACGTACCTCTTTATAGTAAGGGAGTTCTGGATTAATGCGCTATACAACGGAAACTCAGTGGATGTTGTCTACATAGATTTCAGTAAGGCTTTTGACAAGGTGCCAACTGATAGACTGCTATTGAAGTTGGAAAACCTTGGTATTTCCGGACCTCTTTTAAAACGGATTAAAGATTTCCTAGTAGGTCGTAGACAAAACGTAAGAATAAATTCCAAGTGCTCCATTTGGAGACCAGTACTTAGTGGAGTACCCCAAGGTTCCGTCCTAGGTCCTTTACTTTTTATAATGTATGTTAATGATTTTCCAAGTATAGTACAGTCTCCAATGTTATCATACGCTGACGATGTAAGAATCTGGCGAGTGATAACTGGAGACAAAGACGCATTTACTTTTCAGACAGACTTAAATAATATAATAAACTGGTCTGAAGAGTGGTTGATGCTTATCAACGCGTCAGTGTGTCTACATGAACTTGGGGGATTCAACGGTTAATAAGTACAACATAAGGGATGTGCCATTACCCGTAGTCCAGTCCCATAAGAATCCAGGGGTGACAGTGAGTCATGATCTTAAGACGACGGCCCATTGCCGGGAGGTCGCTGCCAAGGGGTTTCGAACCCTCTGAGCTTGAAAACGGACATTCACTAAGTTAGATACTACCATGTTCACCACAGTATACACATCATTAGTGAGAACTAAGCTAGAGAACTGCGCTCAGACTGCAAGCCCCTGTTTAAAAGGTGACTCGGACATACTAGAAGAAGTACAGAGGGCAGCTACCCGTGCAATTCCGGAACTCCGGGGTTTATCATACAAAGAGCGGCTTGAAAAGCTGAACCTCTTTACTCTGTCCTATCGCAGACTAAGGGTAGATCTAATTTTGATATACAGAATACTGAAAAATGATTTCGGACCAAACTTGTTCTCTCTCTTTCTTCCTACTAGATCGGGACACCTTAGAGGGCATAACAGGCGAATAGAAAAGCCAAGAACGAACAAAATACCCGTGGCATACAGGTTTTCACACCGCGTCATCGATACTTGG